TTTTCAGGTGGCCCTTTTCTCTCTTATCTCTGCTGTAAAGTTTTACGGCTCTGACGTCTTGGTGGGAAAAGGTTCACCACACCTTAGCTGCTGCTTCACGGTCCTGTCTGCTTTCTGGATACCTTAAAATTATTGATTGGAGATGAGTCAGAATAAAGATCAGGAGTGACATTTGGAACACGACCAGGTAAGCTTGTTTCACCAGTAATGCATCTCCCCAGAAACAACCTATCAGTCATTATTTTATGGGAGCTTACAGCATAATTACACACGTTTTCCGGATGTAGTTTAGTATTCTTTTACGCACATTGATCAGTGGTTGTGGCATCAAAGTTAAACATAAACTCTATCAAAAGTCTGTCTGTAGCTGTCTGTCAGACTCTTTATGAATCTATCAGGCATGTGCAGGAACACAAAGCAGGAGTTCTGGTGTAAAGGGACAGGGATAAAGGGACTGGGTAATGCAAAGTAATCATTGACACAGCAAAACTGTTGACATTTCTGTGCACATTGATGTCAGGATTTCATCTTAAAACAAGTCACTTAAAAGCCTGTCAATCACTGTGGGTTGTGAATTTCTGCTTTTGCCATGTCAGCGCTCTCAAGGACTTTCATCCCACACGTGGTGCTCTCCATTGAGCCGTAGAGCTGTTCAGTACATGAACAAACAAATCTTTAACACCAGATCCTCAAGTTAAACTGGGTGCACTTAATCGACAGTCGCTCTCCGAATCAGTAGGTTTTTTGTGTTGGAGCCTCCCTCACTAGCGCCTGAAAGCACCGATGTCTGCTCAGATGTGATTTAGAGTTACTCCCTGGTTAAAAGGTTACTAAAAAAACATGACAAAGCATGATGTGATCAGGGCTCATATCAGCTTTTATAAGCAGCAAAATTTCAGATTTATTTGAATTTATTGCAGCCAAACCACGCTAGATTTTCACTTTGAGGTTAAGTTCGAGTTCAGCTTTAACGCATGAATTTACATTGTTGACCAACGGCAAATGGTGACATTATAGCCAACCTTTGAGGGGACGAACAGAAACAGAGGGAGCTGCACATCATTGTCATGTGACCGAGCACAAACTCTGTTGCACATGTATATATGATTACTGAGCTACTATTCTGTTTATAGGTCTGCGGTGTGGCTTTTGAACTGGAAAAAGTAAAAGACTTAATTTATAGTCCAAGACTGAAATAAAGACAGACAGTCTTAGCATCACAGCATTATGAACAGTAATGTTATTCGTTCCTCATTTGCCATTGCGCAGCAGCAACGATCTACTAATCCTTCTTTGAACTGAACTGATCACATTGATTTGAATCAGCTAAGGCCTGAGTGTAACCCAAATACTTCCACAGTCCGGCTGTTGTCCAGATGTATGTAAGCCATGAGTATATGGGCCAGATTTGGGCTGTAAAACCAGGTGTATACTGGGCCAGAAGAAAACAAGCATGTGGGTCAAGTATAGGTCGGATTTATTTGGCTCTCTGTGGCAGATTTTTGTATCATTTTTGTGCAGTTCCCATTTACAAACAACTGTGGGTGCATGTGCAGAATTGAGGTAGAAAATATGTTTCCACATTTTCACTGTTTAGAAATAAAGCAGCTTGCTGGAAACCCATGAAATTATTGTTTTGTATACCCTTTTGTAACCACACGCCACCTTTGATAGAGAAACAGCTAGTAGCAGTGATAATACTAAAACGTTTGCTATAAAAGTTTGCTCCAAAGGTGGAGAGAAATGACCTGTGAGTGTCCGAAAACATCAACTGACACCACAGCTTAACCTTAAAAGCACAGCCGCGCCTTGTCCTATGCCCCTGAAAGGTTAAGCATAGAAAACACTGATGTTAGCATGCTGCTTGCTGGTGCTGCAGAGGTTAAGGGGACTGGTACACTTATTATATTCATATTATTATAATCAAAATACACCAGACACTGGATATTTGCCAGATGTGCTACATTAATGCAAAAAAAAAAAACTCATTAGAAATGACTGCAGTGTCAACAGGCAGAGCTTCACTCCTGACAAACTGTGTCAATACAGAATATAATCAGTGTTATTGATCACATGATCTGTACGCCTGTTTAATTGTTTTCTCTGGAAAATTATGAGCAATTATGAGCCATCAATCAGCTCCTCTATCAGCTGTCACCAATTCCCAAAGTGAAACTCCAAACACATGTCTGACACAGAGCCTTAGTAATATTCATTAATATTGATATCCAGCTTTAACTGCACAAATCATAAAACTAATGAGTGAAAAATTGTTCATCAAGAAGAAAACCTGCCTCGGGGCGCAGGATTACCTGTGAGCCCTGGTCATAGCTCTGGATTTTATGAAGGCTATGAATGATTTTACACTGAAACTGCAAGAATAAACTAGTTTTAATTTAAGACAATTCAAATTGTTACTATTACACAAAAACTACTTTTCATGTCGATCTGCCTTTAAGCTTTCAGTCATTTTCCGTAATTTTTTTGTCTGCGTGCACAATGACATTGCTCTGAAAACCAGAGCAGCATGCATAATTGTGTATCCAGAGTTTTTCTTTTATTCTTTTTCTCAAGTATTTCTCCAACTTGTAGGATATCTATTCTCACCATACACTGGATAAAGAAAACAGAGGTAGACATGGCACTACAATGTCTCATTTGATGATTATGATTCCTCCTTCCTCACATAGAGGTGTGAAAGTGAGGAGGGACCTCTAGCTAAACAAAAAGCGCACACACACACACACACACACACACACACACCAAGACAGACAGCCTCACACACCCCTCTCCACTGCACTGCCTGCACTGAGATCTCGGCTGTTTCTTATTCGTCACAGGTCAAAAGGTGTTTTCTGTGAAAGCGGAACGTCCCACCACACAGTCATCATGAATAATCCAACAAAAGGTAAGTTGTCTGCAGGTAATGACACGTATATCGCTCGGCTTTCTCCCGAACTCCTCCTCAGAAGGGCTGTAATTTCACTTTCACTTTCACATTGTTAATGAAATTCTCACAGACAGCCTCTGTGAATATTTTTATGAACTAATTGGCTTCAGTCTCTGTTTCTTTGCCCTATTTGGCTGAAATTGTGACCCTCTGGAATATTTTAATTAAATACTGTACATTAACTGTTAAACACTGAATATTTTATTTTCCATTATTATTATTAGTGGTAATCGTAGTAGTAGTAGTAGTAGTAGTAGTAGTAGTAGCATCATCATCATCTCTGTATTCATTTCTATCAATGACTGCGACACTGATATCTTATTCCATTTAAAACCTTATTTCTTCCAGTGAATGCTGTGATTTCAGCAGCAGCAGTTTCTTTATTTTAGACTCCTACTGAAGGACTGCTTTTTTAATGAGCTCTCATTAATCATTAACATTCTGCACACCGTAGAGGCTATGTTTGTGTTTTTTGTTTGTTTTTATAGGATCTGCATGCTGGCCTTGAACCTTTATAGTTAGTATTAAGATTCGAAAAGATTTCAATCTCCTTAGAAGTATTCATGTCCGTACTAACTGGATTTTGTTTATTACTGGTTTAATCCCACTGCATTTGGTGCTCATAGTTTTACCAGACTGGTTAATTCACGTGCCCATTGCTTTTCACACATCTTGCCTGTGTACTACTACCTTCCTGGAACAAAGTCCACTGACATCTCCTCTCTGACCTGACGCTCTGATTGGAGTCACATCCACGCCTGTGGAGCAGTTGAGCATTTCAATTTTCAGAGGCTCCTACGGGCTATATGAAATTTTGTATGAGAGCACATTAAATTGCTGTTATAAAACCAAATAGTGTTGATGCAGATGGTTACGCTGCTGTGTGAGGACAGGACCAGGGGGTCTTCATCCAGCTAAATTATTTTAGTACATAAACCCAAAGTTTATATCATATTCAAGGTAAGTTTAATATAACATGTTGTATGTCTCAGAGACACAAAGTTCAAACAGTTCACCTTTATTCGTTGAGTTGAAGGAAAGGTCAGGTAAGTGGGGAATGGCATGGGGTAAAGTCAGCAAGTGAGCAGAGTTCAGCAGCAGCCAGGCAACAATGCTGGGCGAATAGGACAAAAGGGGCAGGCATAAAGCAAAGTCAACAAACAAGCAGGGGGTCAAAAACTGGCAGGCAGGAAAAAGGATGGAACGATAGAGCTGGGAGGCCAGACAACCTGGCGGAGAACAGGTGGAAGTGAGCTGGTATACGTATATACTGTGGGACTAATGAGGGAATGGGAAACAGGTGCACAGGTGCACAGGTGGGTGTGTGGAATCCGATGACAGGGAAAGGCGGGAAGGGCTGGGGTTATTGCAGGGCAGGAGGGAGTGGCAGAATGTGAAATGACATGAGTTACAGTTAAGGCAAAGCAAGCAGAAACTGACTGAATGAATTGTGAAAGGCTACTGCGCAGAATATTAAATCCTGAACAATGTATATTCAGAATACAGAAGAGGCTACTTTAAGAGCCTGATTTTTAATTTGTGTGAAAATTTAAATACTCATGTGTGAAGTCTATGATGTTAACATTTCCCCGAGACTAGTGCAAATGCTCACCTCATTAATGCTTGAAGGAACACCTGTCAAGTGCCTTTGCTGTCGTTGCGCTTTCCTTCAGCCATTTTCTTATTATCCAGCCAAAGTAAGAAAAACACATTTGCCGTTAATCAAGAACAGTGTTGGTAATTAATCCTGGGAGCATCTCTCCTTGAGATCCTGTTTTAATGTGCACTAATTTTGACACACCTTTGAACATTTGTGTGAAATAATTTTTCAACTGTAGATTATTTGTGAGGTTTTTGATCTAGGATTTCACTAACAGAGGATTCTCTGGATCGGAGCATTGAATAAATGTATGTGAATGTGAATGTGAATGTGAAAAGGAAATGTAAAATGAGTTAATCATGCTGTTTGTTTTTCTTTCCAATCTGCTTTCAGATGATATTTATGCATACGCTCTGTCCAAGACCCTGCCTAAAGTTTCATCACCTGCAACTGTAGGACTCTACTCTTCATGTCAGAATCGAATTAATATGATCCTCGAAAAAATGGAAGGTATGTAAACAGTTAGTCTGACCATCCGCATCCCAGCATGTTGTCATTTTATCTGCCGGATGGCTCATACTTTAATCAACTTAAAGCCCTGCCACAATATTTTAGGTGTGTCACGATATCAGATTTTCTCACTATACAATTATCGTGGCCAAGAGAATTCACGCCAAAAATATTATCACAATATCTTCAGGTCTATAATAATAATAATAATTCTATCAGTCAAATTCCACTTTAACTTTGTTTATTGTGTGTTTTGTCTCCTTTTTGGCAAATTAATTACTCAAGTACGAGTGTAGGAGGTGGAGAAAGCGTCTGTAACCATAGCGGTGCAAAAGTGTATAAAAATAACAATTACACTTAATGGGTAGTGCAAAGGCAACCACATTAACTGATAAACAAAAGATCCACAAGGCATAATATCTGCCATCACGATATTATCATGTGTGCATTCTTAACACAATATCGATATTTCACTTTTTAAATATCACAGCTAGTATATCGCGACCTTTAATTGAGTGTGCTTACAACATTGTAAATAAAGATAATGTTTAAATTCTTGCACTGCACAATGTGTAACAGGCTTTCAACAAACAGTTTTCAACTACGTACTCAATTTCACACATTGACAATACATAGTGCAGCCATATAATAGGATTTGAACTACCCTTATTTTATATACAGTGTTGCAAGCATTACTTTTGAAATATAATAAGTTACAGCTTACTAATTAACTTGGTAAAAATGCAACCATTTCAATGACTTCATCAAAGTAGTGTAACTTTTTACATTTGATCACTTATTGACAACTTTTCAGTACCATTCATTTAGTCTGTTAGTGCCCTGTAGAAATTTTACAACCTAATGACCTCTCCAAGTTAATATTTAATGAAAACACAATGCTGAATCAAATAAGGGGGAGTGTTATTAGATCTCACACCTATCACCTGTCAGACCCATGTGTCTGCAAATATGACAAAAGAAGACGTTCCTACATGACAAAAAGGTACAAAGCAGCAGAATGAATGTTATATTCTAGGTAATAAACTTTATACCGAAAAGGATATGTTCCGATGTACCCCCTTTGTAATCACCAGATGTTTTTATTATTGATATTAGTAACAAATAAAATAACAATTACATTTATTTTGTAATTTATTTATGTGATCTTGTTACATATAACCAGTTACTCCCCAACACTATGTATATATACGCAACCCTGAACAGTGTGAATGGAACATGTGCAGCTCTGGCAAAGGCCTCCAAGAGAAAAAACACGTTTAAGGTTGTTTCTTTGTGTTTCCCTGAAGGTCTAGCAGTCCAGGGTTATCATGATTATTATTTTTTTAAACCTTGGCAGACAGTATTCCAGATGTCAGGCTAGGCTTGATGCATAATGATTTTTTATTGTACAGGACTATGCATCCCTGCAGAAACGTCAGGCTGATATTTTTTTTCCTGGAACAGATTTTGGGTTTAGTGCCATGCTTCAGGGCATTGTATCAGTTGGTGAGAGCCAAATGAGTTAAATTCACCAACTTATTACAAAAATATTCCACATAGCAGCCTAAAAACTTCTCAGTTTTTTAATCCTCTTTAAGTCCTAGCCAACTAACCAACATGTTGTTTTGCATGTCTTGATATCTCTCTACCTTGATTTATATTGTTCATCCTTACATGCAAATATTTTGCAAATGTTTGTATCTCCTCAGTGTACATGAACAGGGAGGCTGTGAGGATTGAGACGGAACACAAAGGCAGGCCCCGCTCAGTCAAGCCTTCATTTGGAGGCTTTCTAGCGCTCATTGGCCGACTGCTCTTCTACAGGCCCATTTGGACTGAGGAGAACCAGCAGCACCGTGACGTCAGGTTCATTTATGTGCATTTCAGTGCCTGGCATTTTGCAGGCAGTGACATGCTTTGGGCCGGACTAGCCATACGACTGTTTCAGGCCATGCAGATGAACTTTGGGAAATTACAGCTCGTACTTTACCGTGTGGCTCAACACGATGAAGAGGACGAAATCAAGAAGAAGGTTGTGAATATCTTTTTTCTTTCAGTTATCAAAGAATCTACAGCCGCAGCTAAATGCATGCTAACTTGCTCACAATGACAACTTTACATTATTTGGTTGAAAACTGTTCCCATTGGAAACTGATGGCAGGAAGGTCTGTTGTGTTTCTGCAAAGGCACATCACTGTTGTGTTTCAGACACATGGCTTGTTGATTCCCTTCCGGATTGGCGGCTTAAGTCTCAGTGGCAGATACCTCATAACTTTAGATAAAGAAGACGTGTATTAGAGAAAGTAAAATTTTGACCTGCTGATGGCAGTAGATGAAAAGGCAGGGGATCACCAAGGTCATTAGGATTTATTGTCTGGGCAGCATGAATGTCTTTACAAAATTTCATCTATCTATAAATTGTCAAGATAATTCAGTCTGGACCAAAGTGGTGGACCAACCAACCAGCATTGCCATCTCCACGACTGACACATGGCAGTAATGTCTAACCTGATTCCTGTTTGGTCTGTGCTTTTTTTCGTTTTTATAAAAATGTTCAGGTAATGGAGAATAGTACTAACCACTGGAGATCCAAGAAGATTTGCTGCTGCCCCCTGTGGTTTCTCATCCTGTCCATTCTCGTGGTACCACCTATCATCCTGGTGTTCGTATTGACAGTTGGCCTTCCCAAACCCGAGGTGGAACCAGACGAGGAGGTGAATAACACAAAAGGCCAGGTGGGTGTGGTGGAGGGCGTGGTCATTGCTGTGTTAGGAGTCCCTGCAGCGAGCGCATTGAGGTTTACCTTTCAGATGGTTAAGAACCTCATCTTCAGCCAGGAAATGAACCTTAAGAAGGGGTTGGACAATGAGCAGATCAGCAACCAACTGGGCTTAATGAATGAGGTGAGGATGGAAATGTGGTTCCTGTCTCGCTTCATCCAGTTTATGGAAATATTTGAGAGAAGAAGGATTCGAGTGGTGCTGAAGATCACCAACCTGGACCGGTGCGCCCCCAAGAAAATTGTTGCAGTTCTGGATGCCATCAACATTCTGCTTTCAGACGAGGAGAGTCCGTTTATTTCCATTCTGGCAGTAAACCCAGAAGTTATTGTAGAGAAAGTGAACTTTGCAGACGGCTGCTTCAGCAAAGAGGACAGAGCTTATGCAATGTTGAACCGCATTGTGACTCTGGCCTTCACAGTCCCACCACTGTGCGACGATTTAAAGTGCAGGTTTTTTTACAGCCTCACAAGAAATTCAAAAGATAAAAATAGAGCTTGGGACCTCACGAAGACATCTTCCTCAGATGTATCAGAAGTACTAATTGCACTGGAAGAGTCACAGCAACTGATCAATAACACTACAGCAGCACTGGATGTAAAAGACAACGAAGTAGAGCAGCTGGTGGAGAGCAGCCTGACCAACAATGAAAGAAATATAAACAAGTACATGTTAGATGATGCCATGTCTATGAGGAGGGTGATCAACTCCATTCGAGTGACTGTGATAATGATGAAGGCTTTGGGGAAAGAGCCTCGTCAACCAGAATACATTGCAGCATGGGTGGTCTTAGCCAATCAGTGGCCCTGCCGACTTAGCTGGATCATCCAGTGTGCAGAAGACGCTCAGCAGAGAGCAGATATTGATCAGGAAAATGTGACCAACACTGATGATTCAAAGACCTTGTGGAAAGTCTTCAGTGAGTCCAGGGCAGAACTGTATGTGATGAGTGCACAGATTGAGGACCTCCTCGAGCAGGACGGAGATCCTGAGATGTTCGAAAGATTCCTAAAAGTAGATTTCCAATTCACCATAAGGGACTTGAAGACGTTTGAAGTGGCAACGGTAAACCTGGATCATACGATTAGGAAGGAGCTGGCTCAGATCAGAGGGACATCCAGGCTGAAAGACTCTGGTTGGATGAGGGACCTGGCTCCTCTGCCTATCACAACTATCATCAATATGAATACAGAGGATGTATGCAAAGAGGTAAGACATTTTACAAGTCATAATCAGATTTCAGTCCTGGTTGATTTGGTAAAACAGCTGGTTACTGGTTGTGACAGAAAGTACAGTGTAATACTACAGCAAAGCAAAATACTTTATCAACAGGACAACTGCTGTAGCTGTTCACAGTGCAGCCAGACAGTCATGTTTTAATGAAGAACTCAATAATTATAATAATTAATAATTAAGTCAATAATTAACCTATCTATCAAGCCATGAGCAACCACAGTCAGATTTTCACATGGTGGAGCACTTTTCTACACAACAGTAGGGCACAGTCAAAGGAGTTGGTTACCTCGCTTAGAAATTGAAGAGCTGCAGGCGACAGGCTGCACACCTCCATCTAACACATCACTGTGGCTGCTCCTTCTTGTTCCATTTCTCCCTGCAAAATTTAACTCATTCACTGTCAAAAAAAAAATGCAGAGAACGACCATGTCTCCTTTTGTACATATATATTTTTTCAGTCTGTGTTAGCGCTAAACTTAGTGACAAATACAATGAATTTCCTGTGACTCCGGCACTATCAACATTACTATATAGACAGGAAAATGCTGAATGTTCATACACTGAATGGCTTTTGCTGAAAATAAATAGCATCAAAAACAGGGTTTAATGTCATATTGTGGAGTATAACTTTAATATAGGCTTTGTTACAAAGCAGTGTTTATTTATTCTAAGTAATGTGTTTAGTCACCTCTCGGTGCAAATCAAATATGTTTGGACTCCAACTGCAAATGCAACAGGAAAGGATTTTTAGATCAATTCAGTCGTATCAGTGAGTTCTAGGAAGTAAATCATTCTCCTCTGTATTTATAATAATTGGATTTAATCTTTTTCCTAGTTGGAGAGAATGGAATACCCCAGTAAGTATATTGATAAGGTGAGAAGCAATGACCTCAATGGTTTGGCACTGCTCTTTGGTAGTGCAGAGGACCTGAAAGACCTCCTTGGTATGACCTTTGGTGAATGGGCAACTTTCAGACTGCACTTCCTGGGTTTACCATCACATCTCCGACCACAACACAAGAACGTGTCGACGGAGCCTCATCATCCTCAGAGTCAGCTTTTGAGATTTAAAGCACATGCTTTCGATCATCACTCGTCTAATCCCAATCTGGTTGATAGTTCCATGTAGGATCCAGTCTGCTTCCAGTATGCCTGATATCCCTAAAATTATACAATGCAATGCAACATTAAACAACATTTACAGTAACAAAACAGAGCCTGTGCACAAAAATAATGCACAAGAAAATGCATGATGATGAAAATTTTATGTAAAATGTTTCAGTGTTATGAATAAATCTGTTTCTTGCCAAGAGTTAGATGATCATTACCACTCTCACGTCTCTATGCTAAATATGAATTTTTGTTTATAATAAAGACTGGGAGCAGGGAAAACAGCTAGTCTGGCTCTGATGTATAGATTAACCAAGCGAGATACACAGCTTTTTAATTAGTCAGCTTTAGAAGTTCAGTGTTTTCTAACTTTGGACAGAGCCAGACTAGCTGTTTGCCCATGCTCCTATAGTTGCTGCTAAACTAAGCTAATTGCTTCGTGGCCGCATATATTTCAAGCACACAGACATGAGAGAGGTATCTTTTAATTGTCACTCTCAGCAAGAAAGCAAATAAAGTGTGTTTCCCAAAATGACAAACATGTCCGTTAGCTAATGTGATTGCTCCACACTTAATTTTGTTTACAGTTTAAACATTACTTATTACACTTTGTCATCAACCTATCTGTAAACCAGTTCAGTGTGAATAGATTTTTTTTTTCTGCTCATTAAGAAGGTGGTGTCTGCGAGATGGTTGAGCCAGATAACTCCAGCATCCCTAAAATGCTGACTCATGCTGTGCACAGCTTCTCAACCTGCTAATGCCAGTGTCTCACAGTCACTGCTGAACTACTGCTCAAATGTCTACATGCATTTTCTGTGCTCCCTCCTCCACTCAAACATAGACCTCTCTTAAATCCCTTTAGGGATTTCAACTCATCACTCCCTGCGTTCTCATCTGCTGATCACTGTGCTGTACAAGGGCGTGATGAGCCACTGAGCCTTGATGCCACAAAGAATTGCATTCAGATTTTATTTGTAATGAGTTGTCTAACTGAACTGGATAGTGTGGTTTATCACACTCTGCATTAATTTTCCCAACAAACATTCAGTTATTCTGGTTCAGTAATCTATATCATATTGAATTCATAACGAAAACTTTCATTTCAAGTTTTGGACATGATGAAGTGGTTCTGCGTAGCTGATGGAAACTGACCAACAAGTTACACTGTTGCAATACAAAAGTCAGGTACAGTTCAACTTGAGGCTTTCCAAATGCACTGGTCTCAGCATTTGTCATTGAACTGGTTTACAGCTAATTTCAATACAACTCTAGTTATATAAAAGTTAACATTCATGGCCTGGAGGAGTTTAAGTGTGGAGTAATCACATAGACACATACTTCATGCTTTATAGCGTAATTAGGAATGCATCAGTTTAGTGATTATGAAGTATGAGTACAGCAGTTTATTAAAATGTTAGCAAAACACTAAAAAATGTAAATATTCAACTATATGATAGCGCTAGTGTCACCTACATGTCCAGTCATTTATGATTCAAACTTGGTTGGATCATTGCACATCTGTTTTCATGCATCACATTTTCTCCATATAGGCTTTTTTCACTGAGGACATTTTGACATGTGGTGGTCAGTGTAAATCGTAAAATGAATGATGGATGAATTCTGTTTAGTGGCTTCAGTTACAGGGTCCTGGTATTGTTCATGTTCAGTCACTGTCACACTGCCATGGCTTACGGGGACAATTGAACAGCACAGAGCTATTGTTTATGCTATTAATAGACCTTGTGCTTTTCCTACTTCGACAAGTCAAAGTGTCTGCTGTGAAAAGGGCTTATTACGAAACAACAGTTTGATTTCTCTGTCAAAGTAAATGTGGCAAACAGAAAAGGATGAGGAAGATAAAAAGCTGTGAAACACATCAACATACAAAGCAACCATTGTTTTACCATTGCCTTAACAACCCATTTCAGTTTTTATTAAAATGTTATGGTACATATTATACAGCCTTTTTCTTGGAAAACGAGAAGCTCCAGAGGCTGTTTTCAGTCATTCACTCTACCTTTGCTACCCAACTGTGACATGCAAATGAAGATATTTATCCAAACTAATGGGTGTTCCATTAATGATTTACTGCATATTATAGTTCACTGTGAGTCTCACTCATGCACAAAACAGCATGTGATTGTAGGTTTAAGACATTTTTTTTTCTTGGTTTGACTCTTTGCATGTTTTTAATGTTGTATGTAACTTTTACTGTAACTTTATTGTGGAGTGTTTGTAAGGTGAGTGATGAGCTTATGCTCATGAATGCATGCTAAAAGGGTCAAAAAGCTAAACTCTTTCATGGTCCAAGTCAGAGAATATTAATTGAAAAGTTAAGGATGTGAACATGACTATGTTACAGAGACATAGTAGGCTAATATCTATTTCAGAGCCTGGGCAGACATTAAAGGTATATTTCGTATTTCGTCAATTGAAATTCACTGTGATGTGTTTAGGAAAACTTTATTGATTATTCAGCAGAAAACTAAATACTGTGTATGTGCTGCAGTAAACTGTAATTCGCCATTTCATGCAAATCAAGAAAATGTAAACTCTGACAAATGAAATGTATGCAAAAGCGTTCCATAATAAAAATGCTCATCCAAGCAAATAAAATTTTCTGTTGAATGTCACTTCCCATTTTTTCTAAATACGTTTGCCTGTCTACAAACAGCCCAGGCAATGTGCTGACTCATTAATGATATTTTAACATCAAAGTGTTCTGATGTTAAATAATCAGCAGAAGGTTCATTTCATCTACACTCCTTTGAACTGTTTCCCTCTGTTAATTTGGCTAAAAATATCAGAGGGACAAACCCCAAACATTTACAGTGCAAGCAATAACATTACACTTCCATACACGCTGAAAGCATACAGTATATACTGAAAGTCTGAATATATCTACCTCTGGAATATTCATCTGTCGTACCAGGCTGATAGAAGAGTGACAAGAAACACCAGAAGCGAACAGTTCCAAACATTACATTGTAACTTCTACCACACATTTAACATCTCTTAGCAAGAGACATCATTACAGTATTCTGTGGTTGCTTTGTAATTACTCACACTGAGGTATGAAAGCTCAAAAGATGAAAAGTCTAGTAACATTCTTCTTTCAGTAGATATTTTTGTCTAATTAAGATAGCTAGACTAAGGCATAACTGTATTATAACTATATGTATGTTACATTTTAAGACACATAGTTCATATATTTCAGGTAAAAGTGTAAATCCAAGACAATCTTTTCAAATTTAAGAGGTTTTTAGACACAGCAGTTAAAAATTATGCTCATAGTTAAGTCATAATAAATTCAGACATCACATTTCTTGGCTCGGAGAGAATAACAAATTTGGACAATTTAGGAATGTATTAAAAAAAAAAAGAAAAAAAGAAGAAATATTAATGTATTAAAAAAAACAGCAAGACAGAAAAAAATATCTGCTAACAGGCACATCTATGACAAGACCACAGTGGTATATTTATATTTTTCAAATGGATCCCTGATTTGTAATGTTGATGTAATGGTATAATGCCAGGCTCTTTTATCATAAAGCAGCAGTTTTCCTGGATATTTTACCATCGCAGACATAGCAGGAATACAGTACTTGCAGGTTGTTTGGCCTGAAGCAGCTCACTTGCGTCCCAAAGACTCAGCCAGCTTCTTGAGCCTTTTCTTGAGCTCCAGGGGAAACTTCTCGTAACACTTTTTACAGACAGGCTTCATGTCAAACTCAACAAACTTGTTTCTGCAGAGAGGGAAAGAAAGACCACGTAAATACTAAATATGTAACCAAATGACTTGTCTCCTGCTTACATTAACCTTTCCAGATTTCCCTCCCACCTGCACAATCTGCATATTTTTTAATCTAAATATTATTATCACTGCAGGTTAAAATTTATTTCAAGTCATCATCTCCTCACTTTAAATTATATTAGCATTAGGGGCATATTTTTAGGAGGTAACACACCATCCTCTCATCTCGACTTATCATGGAAACCACTGAAATCATCCTGCAGCTTTGCCCTTTACTGGAAAGTAGCAATTACTTATCTCATTCAAACAAACAAAAAAGTCTTGGTGGAAGCTTAATCTTCATGTACATCAACTGAGCCAAACTCACGTTTAATATACATGTATATTTCAGAGGTTTTGTACAATTACCATTAACACAAACAACTCCAGGGTCTTGGTTTTACTTAAAAAAAAAATAAATGCAAAATAATGATATCATGCAATTTTGTCAAAATAGTAAACAAGGAACACCACAGAAAAAGAGGAAGGCAGAGATAGCACCAACCAACAGATGGAGTGGTGAGTTGTTAAGAATAATAACTCTACAGACACACAGCAGGTTTTTTCTTGCGTTCTTTGGCATCACGCTCACGTCGAGCCAGGCGGCGTTTCAGCTCCTCAGGCATGTGCTCATAGCAGTGCTTGCACACTGGCCTCAGGTCAATTTCAACAAACTTATCTCTGAGTTACCACAGACGCAGCAAGTGAAGCATGTAAGAGGAGAAATTGGAGGAAAAAGGGGGGGAAGGAAAAGAGCCAAAGAGGGAAGAGTTGCAGGAGGAGAGTGAAATACAGAAATACAGAGTATTACAGAAAACTGAGAGGACGACAACAATCAGCTGGTATTACACACAATTAATTATCAAAAGACACTGTTAATGAGCACTATCACTTACTTGAGAGTGAGTTTTGTGTTGCAGGTGGAGCATGAGAAACAACTGACACACCAGGCCTTATTGAGAGCAGACACAACTGAGGGGGGGGGGGCAGAAAAAAAAGGAAAATTATAAACATTCAGCTGTTGTATTTTAAAGCAACATTTTGTGTAAATTACTAAAAACACTCTACTGAATGTGAGCTTTATAATATTGATACTCACCATCGCCTTCAATCACGCGGTTGCAGTGATAGCACACATCGCCAAAGAGCTTAGTAACAGAGAAACAAGGAGATTAAGTGTTCATACAGCAAACACAAATTAATTTATTTTTGGTGAAGTGATAAGTGGTTAGTAGTGCTGTGTCATTTGCTTTGAGAGTTTACTAACATTATGAAGTCTGTCATGTCCCTAAAAGCCATTATTGTTTTTTTCTTACCTGGTTATAATGAGTCTCACAGTAAGCCAACCCCTTTCTCTCATAATGGCGATGACCGAGGAAAGGTTTCTCACACTTGGCACACACAAAATGCTGTAAATAAAAGCAAATGTTGCACTTTGCATTAATGTTTACTTACCTAGACAGGTTTATAAACTTATGGACTTAACCTGTGGAGAAATATTACTTTAGTGATCCTTTTGTGTCATTTTTGATCACATTGAGCCCACACGGCTATGGAGAAACCACTATGTTTCTAGTGCATGCCAGATAAAGTTCATGAAGTAGTTGGGTACAAAATTAATTCCAGCTAATGACTGTCTTTAGCATTAAACTAGCTTCTATACACTGCTGATAGTCTTTGAACTTTTTGAACACTATAAATCAAGCAGCCTCCAGACAGATGAATACACAACTTGATCTACTATGCAAACATTGCACATGTATACACACGCACGCACGCACTTATTTTATTGTATCTATTATTCATATTTTTTCTTATTTTAGTTAATTATTTGCTTATTCCTGATGTATAGGTATTCATTGAAATTTCTTTATTTAGTGTAACTACATCCCTTTGTGCTGCTGTGTCAAATTGAATTTCCGCTGCTGGGGATCAGTAAAAGTATATCCTATCTTATCTCTGCCTCAGGAGAATTAATCTTTTTCTTTTTTTTTTTTTTTTTTTTTTTTTTTTTAAAAAGGGCTCACATCTCTCGTACTGCTTCAAATAAGCTGATTTACAGTGTTTTGGTTGTTAAGTGGTTTATTTAATGAATTTAATTTCCCTGTGCATAAATAATGGTAACTAAATGTGAAATTTATTATAGCTTTTTATTCTACTTTTGTGCAAGGGCAGCATTACATATAATATCTACAAAGAGGTGGTCAGCATGACATTTGTTCACTATTATTAACACATCAGGAGCCTACTCCCTGTAGTCCAACTTACATTGAGCAGAAGAATTTCAACAGACACACTTGTTATACTTGTTTAAGTCTTGTATGAACTAATACTACATGCATTTGGTACCTAGTATACTGGTACTTATTCTTCGTTATTTCATCAGTGTTTATGTTTAATGGGCCATTTTGTGCAACTCTTGGAAATGTCAAGTTGGCAGCCTAATGGAAAGATGATGTCTAGATGAGTTACGCTTCAGTTTTGTTTACTCTCTGACAACTGCAAAAAAAATAAATGGCTATTCTCACTTCTTTCCAAACAATTATCAGATCATGAACACAGTAAGCATGGTCATGTAAACATGTAAACTCAAGGACCAAACTCAAGGCCTCAAAACAAGAAATCTTGATGTGTTTAACATAACTGTAAAAATGGGAAAGTTTTCTCTAGTGTATTGATAAATAGTCTCAAGTTTTGTTCACAAACCTCCACATGCCACTGCTTGCCCATGGCATTGACAACACGCCCCTCGATGGGTCTCCGGCAGGCACCACAGATTGGTACACCCATCTTGTCGTGGCACGGCAAACAGAAAAGCTCTCCCTTCAGTTCCCTGGCATCTGCTGTCAGTTCCTTCCTGTGGACGAAGAAACATTGAAAAAAGAAGAGAGAGGAACACAGGCTTTGAGCCACTGTTATAGATCATTTTACATGTGAAGCTGAAATATAGTCTGAAGCTAAGAGGGTGCTGTTTTCTGTACTAAATAGTAGTGTGGAGGGGTAATACTGACCCACAATTGTTGCAGTTGAAGTGGTCTGGATGATAAGGATCATTCTTGAAGATCAGTGGCTGCTCTTCAATGATGGCATGGCACTTCTGGCAGATATACTTGCCCAGGCCACGAGCTTTCTCGCGGTTATGGCACGGACGACAAAGGTGTCTGAGGTAAATAGGAGACAACAAAATTTAGCCGCAGCTGCTCAAAATTCCAATATTTGTTAGAAAGCTGTGAGTAAGTCACCAGCTTGATGTGTGTGTAACCACCTGCTTTACAGGCTGTCACAGTGTTATATTAAGACTGTAATAGGATGGGATACTTGCCTGCCAGCATTTTTGACAAATCCCACGTCTGCAAGCACAGCCTGGCAAATGTCACAGCAGAAGCAGTCAGGGTGCCAACTGTTGTTCATGGCCTTAATGACACGACCGATAATGAACTCCCCTGAGGGAAACCATAAGTGAGAGGTCAGCTTGAGGCAAGTCTAGGTTTGACTTTTTCAATATTTGTTGGGACTGAAAGCTTTTCTCTGATATAGCACCGTAGTTCATACTAATTTCCCCATTATGGAGTCCTAGTGCTAGTAAAATACACAACAGGGCTTTCTATAGTGTTCTCAAAGTGACACTTGAATTTTGAATGCATTTTAATTGTCCATATAATTTAATCAGAGCATGTCTATGTCTCCCCAGACACAGTCAAGTAGTGTTTAAATTAATCTTACATGACACTAAAATGCATTATGGGTGATCTAAACACAAGTGGGAAGTCCTAAATGAAAGTGTAAAAGACTTTGATCTGATCTCTCAAACAACATATGGAGGTCAGGGATGCTTACATCCACATATGTACTGTAGTGAAGTGGTTCCCAAACAGGGTTTACAAATGGGGAGGTGCTGTAAACAGTGAATGCTTTGATATACACCACTTGCAAAGTATGGAGAATTTTGTGAAAAGGTCTCTCAAACAAACATAGAGCAGACAATGATCCAGGTGTGTATTTATGCGCAGAAGAAGGCCCAACAGAAAATGTTCAGGAACCACTATATTACTGTGCTTATGTCATGGCAAACTTCTTACAGACAAGTGATTTGCCAATGGCAAACAATGAGGGAATGGTTTCAAATTCATCCCTACAAGATCCCAAAAAGCCAAAACAATTGCCTTCTCTAGCCATATGGCTAAGTGCAAATGTTTTTTCTGTCTAGCTTCAGTCCCCAAAAACAAAATCAGATGTAAGCAGGAGCAACGTGAAGCAGAGTCCAATCACAAAAAATGATTTTAAGCACACCTGAGATGCATTCTGGTACCAATGTAGTCCATCTCAATTAGATCTACACATATAGCTTCAGTCAAATGTTTTTGATCACCTCCTTTTTTCGGTTGTTACTGAAATGTACGTACTGTAACAGTGAAATTAAAGCATAGAACAATTAAATAAAACTGATTTTTGAAATGGATGGCATCCACCCACACTTGTGATGTTCTTTCAACAATGGAAATGAATGTTTGTCTCAACCAATGTTCCAGAAGTTCCCACAAATGTGTTGTACATGTAGTTTGCTATGCTTTCACCTTCTATCCAGTTCATCCCAAACCAGCTCTACTGGGCTTAAGTCTTGAGCCTGTGTGGCTCTTCCATCATGTGAAGCCATCATCTAGGTCTTTTCTTCTAATGTTTTGGGTCTTTGTCTTGCTGTAGGATGAACTCCTGACCAACCAGTCTGTCTTCCTTTGTTACTTGCCTTTTTCTCACCACATGCAATATACAGTACTACTTCCTGCAGTACAGTATTGTCCTTATACATCAGAGGGTGTAGAAACAACACTGCCTTTGTACAGACAAAGGGTTTGTAAGTAATTAACAAAGGTTGGGACACCTGTGGGAATTGTTTGCATTAACTTTCAAGGTTTACTTTACTTCCATTGCTGCAGTCAAGTTGTAAGTTAACCAATTTTGTAACCTCTGAAAAAAAGCCTGTCTCTGTGAAATGTATCTGATTTTTCAGTATTTGGTGACCAAAACTTTTTTTTTTTTTTTTTTTTTTTTACCTTTGGCAAAGTGGTCACCAGTATTTCTCCACATAACCACACAAATACTAGATCTACACAGGCCCTAAAAGAATGAGACCCTGTAACACTCACCACACTGGTGACAGCAAGGAGCAAAGAGCATCTGGAAGTCATGTTCACAATATTTTCTTCCTTCAAACTGTGAGGAGAAGGGTGGGATACATTCACTGAAGAGAATCATTCAAAACATTCTCTGTATAAAAAGTATCAGAGAAACCCCACAAGCAACGCACAAACTATGACTCATCATTGTGATGACTTGTGAAATATTGGTGACTAGTACATTTCAGTACACTACCTCATAGAAGAGTCCCTCTGGAAACTGCTGGAAGCACTGGGCACACACAAAACACTGCTCATGGTACAGCTCCCCATTACTATTGACAATCTTCTCAGTCGGAGCAAAGCCACTCTTGCATCGCTCACAGGCCGCATGGGCCAGGGCATTGGCCATGCTGTTGTGAAACAAGAAAATACACGTTAGTACTTTACTTCTCCAGAGTCCCTCTGACATGTAAGGCTGACAAATAACTGGGATGCAAGGCTGGACAAATGTTTATCATTTCTCACATAACTCCTACATTAACTGCTGCATTTATTTCAGCAGCTGTCAGCAGAGAGAATGGAAATAATATGTGAATCAGTTGGGAAACTCAGTAACACTTACTCACCAAACAGTCATCACCTAATTTGGTAAAGAAATAGAGGTACTGAAACCAAGCTGAGAGACAATGTGAAGCCTTCTCTCCACACATACACATATAGACACACATGAGCTACAGCAACTTCAAAAGCCATTCTCTCTTGATTGATAGTAAATTAATTGTCATCTCTTATGATATTCAATTCTCTTTATAATACTTTATTGTAAACTTAGTATTTTTGTATGTTGGACCATTTGGTGGATAAAACAAGCAGACTGAATATATATGAATCTTGGGCTTTGGGGAATTATAGCAAGCACCTTTTGACATTTTACAGACAAATTGATTTTTCAGGACAATAATCAGCAGATCAATCATGAAAATGATCAGTAGTTTCAGCTCTAATATACACACAAATAATTACTAATAAAGTCACTGATGACTAGACTCGGATAGTATCTTATCAATTTGCAGTTAAATATTATGCCACAACTTACAACTTTCTGTCAGTAGTCCAGCTAAGGCCAATTCTGGCTCAGGCTTCGTGTAAATCATAAATATGTTTAAAATTAAGTTGCAAATTGAATTTAAATAATCCAATCCAACGAAATGTAAAGTTAGTTCATCATTTTCCCCAGTAACGGTATAATATACATTAGTTACAGTCTTTACGTAACCGGCTTCAAATAAATCATGGGTATACCGGAAGGCTCATAAAGGGCATTAAAGTTCAGGGGCGGCTAAAGATAATAATTCGCCTAACTAACTAGCATGCTAACCTGACAGTGTCAGTGTGGGAAAGAAAACTAACGATATATCACGAATGAAGGTAAACTAGCAATAGCGTATCAACTGTGAACCAACCTTTAAACTGTTGCCCTGAACCTAAATATGTATTCAGAGAAACATTTTTGCAAGTATCTCAAAAGTAGGGCAGCTAATCTCGGGTTGCGGTGAGCTAACTTTACCCCAATGGTTACGTTGGCAAGCTAAGGTACCGTTAGCTTTAGCGTGTTGGCCTCGAAAGCTAACTGAGCGTTTACCTGAAGTTGTTTATGTCTGATTCTACCCGAGCTAAACGGTGAAACATCTTACCTGCCCGTCATTCCTACCACCCCCAGCATCACCTATCAGCTCGACAGTTTTAGCTCTGAACCTAATGAAGTGACACTAACTGTTGCGCTAATTCGTCTCGTGTGGTCCCCTCCCAGGCGAGCCCTGCCTGAGCTGGCAGGGGGCGGAATCAGTCCACCCACACTGGGAGTGTCCGTGGAAGTAATAGAATCAGCTTCACAAATCCTCCCCACCAAAACTGCCCTTGGTCTGGATTTAAAGAGCCTCATCATACAGGATTACAGACGGGACAGTCCCATGCAAAACTCTGATATATGGGCATATACAGGAGTAACTTTGTTGAATTTACATTTTGGTATGTGAAACCATATAGAATCAGGCTGTGTCATATATGTTTTTATAGAATTAAGAGAAAAAACAAAGACCAGAATGTTCCCGTTAATATTTTTAGCCAACAGTCTCCACAACACACAAACGTGTGTTTGGAATAATGGAGGAATAAAGCAGATTTGAGTAAAACCAGCAAGCTGACCTTATCACTCTCAGTCCATACCTGAAATGTAGCACCGGGATGTTTCCTGTGTAAAAAAAGTATAGTGGGTTAGAGGAGAATTAGGCCTATATAGAAGAGTGAAAAGCAATATTAACAAAAACATAACATTTCTGCTATTTTATTGGATCAAACAAAGTCCACTCTCTGAGAATGACCAAAAGTAACCTCTGTCTCAAAGAGTCCAGGGATCAAGACACACTGGGGATGTGTTCCAACTATTATTCTCTCATAAATATTTCGTTCTTACACAGTCTTAAAAACATTCATTTACATCAACATTCAGCTGCCACATTGACTGGCCTTCAGGGCTGCACAATTACCTCCTTAAAATCATAATTTTCACATTTGTATCAGTTACATGAGAACAGCTGCCACATGCCGCTGATGTTTTTATGCAACAGCTAAATATGATACAGGACAAAATATAACCATATTATGGTTGATGATATACCATCATCAATTTAAGTTGTTTTTATTTTAGGTCAGCCAACTGTTTTTTTGTGATAGCAGGAGAACTTTACTGCAAAATGAACAGCATTGGTCATGATTGTGCAGCCCTGTGCTAACATTTAAACCCTCCATCCTTACTTTTAAAAGTCTTTGGGTGTTTTCAGACTGACAGTTACAGTAAGTCTGAGTCAGTTTAGGAATGGGTTGCAAAAAATATTGATGAAATTAAGACTTAAAAAACTGGGTGTGTGGATCATAGACTGTATGTGATGTGTGAGCAGAGCAGCAGGTTTGGGGGACATGGGATCCAACTGAGGTTTGGACTCATAAAAGAGTAAACCATGTACATTAGTGACCTGTACATCAAATTCATCTGGTTTTATGAATTTAAATTGTTCTCAGTCCACTACTTTGGTCCAGACTGATATTGCATTCACAGTCCCCAAAGGATGAATCCTATTGACTTTTCCTCTGCTGTGATCATGAGGATGACATTATGGTTTTGAGTGACTGGCAACTGTTGGATGGATTGCCATAAAATTTGGTACATTTACATTCCCCCCAGGATCAATCACAATCACTTTGGTGATCCTGACTTTTCATCTAGTATCATCAAGAAGTCAAAATTTAAATTTGCCTAGTACTTTGATTTATGATCACATACCTGCAAAACTAATGACATCCCCATCACCTTTGGATGTGCTTTGTGTTTAATACTAATTAGTAAATGGTGACACTCAAGAGGGTGAACAAGATAAACATTATACCATGTTAGCATGATGCTAGCATTTAGCTAAAACTGCCACTGTGCCTGAGAACAACTTCACACAGTCGCTAGCCTGGCTGTAGAGTAGACTAATAGTCTTGCTGATTGAAAAAGAGTCTCTTGATTAGCATTGATAGCACGAGGCTTTACTCTCCTGTACAAACACACTGATCTAAATTAATTAAGGCTTACCATGAACCATATTACTGAGGGTGTCTGAACATAATTAATTTTTGATGACTAATTTAATGTTTTCCCCTCCCCAAAACAGTTTGCATGACTGTTATAGGAAATGCTACTGAATGGTTTGTTCCTAAACTTATGAAGCATCTTAAAACATACAGGTCAAACTCAGCTCAGCTCTCTTCAGACCTGTATTGTCTTGAAACAAGATAACTATGCAAAAAACAAAAAAGGAAACCATTGCAACAAGCTAATGAAAGCAAGTGTTGTCTCTATAGTTAAGACATGGACTACGTATTCAAACAGGCATTTTTAATGTGGCTATGAACTTTACTTAAATATTACATATCTTTGGGGAAAGTACAAGAGGTTACCTTCCAATAATCTCAGTACAATGCAGCCTTGTTTAACTAAAATAAAAACAACACACTGTCACGGTACACTATAAAAAAAACTGCAGCCCTTACTCGGCCTATAGTTGAGTATTACAATAATCATCTATAAGCACTGAATACAAATGCAGTTAATATTAACCAGCAGATGGCATGTCTTTATAAATACACAATAAAATGTACTGTTAGTCAGTAAAGGATAAAGTCCATCGCCAAGCCTTGTTGACCTTCAGAAACAGAAAACAGAAAATTAAGACATGATCATGAACCCCTATTAAAGGGCAACAACTGAAGAAATATTAAAGTTTTTTCTCCTTCTTTTCAAATTAACATTTCCAAACAAAATACACAAAACATATCAACCGTGTAAAACAACAGATTACAGATTTCAACTGAACACAATGATTTACAGGACTCTTTCATTGCGTGGTGCAAGGGTTGACATGTTTCAGCAAAAATCCACAGGGAACATCCTTAATAAGTCCACCTTAAGACGTGTTCCAACTATTATTCTCTCACTCCATCGCAACAAAACAATAGCAAGACATAAATATTTCATTCTTACACATTCTTAAAAACATTCATTTACATCAACATTCAGCTGCCACATTGACTGGCCTTCAGGGCTGCACAATTACCTCCTTAAAATCATAATTTTCACATTTGTATCAGTTACATGAGAACAGCTGCCACATGCCGCTGATGTTTTTATGCAACAGCTAAATATGATACAGGATAAAATATAACCATATTATGGTTGTTGATATACTATCATCAATTTAAGTTTTTCTTATTTTAGGTCAGCCAACTGTTTCTTTGTGATAGCAGGAGAACTTTACTGCAAAATGAACAGCATTGGTCATGATTGTGCAGCCCTGTGCTAACATTTAAACCCTCCATCCTTACTTTAAAAAAAACTGTTTTTGTATTTTGTCTGTTTGTCAACTGATCGTAATTTAAAGGTTAATTGAAAATAGAGGCCTCTTCTATGCTGTGTTTACAGACATTGCTAATGTTGAACTTTTAACAGCATCTGTAAATATTAATAAATCAGATTTTGTCCATGTAACGAAAGACCTGTCAATCAATTTGAGAAAGCTTCTGTCTGCAACTTTAAGTACATTTAATCTCTAAAATGTTTTTTTACAAATGCAAAGCCAGAATATATCTTTCTTCGGTAGACTATAGACTGTACAGACTATTAGCATGGTGAATGATTGTGCTGTCAAGCAGTTTTGGTTTGTCCCTTTCCCAGAAGCTTTCCAGAATGATTTTTGTGTGTCAAATGTCAATAATTAAACAATTCTGCCTGCCACTTTAATTTGTTAGAACTTATTTTGCTTGTAAGAATATAAAATAACTCCAAAAAAGCTAGTTAACTACCAAGGGTGACTCATTGGCAGATTCACTGACCACTGCCACAATTTACCACCATTTGGCTGCAAAATCTGTTAATTTCATGCCCTAATGAAATTGTAACTCATCTTGCATCCTTCATTGGAGTAAAAGTGCATCAGTAGGATTCCTTAAATGTACAGATATATGAAGTCGACAATTAAAAATCCTCCCTCCCATTTGTTTTGCAATTTAACACTTTGATATTTACAATTACATTAAAATAGGAACATGTTTCAGGCAATGCAGAAATATAGTTATTGTACATTACACACAAAATATGTTCAAACATCACTCTTTTATATATATATATATATATATATATATAAAGATATATATATAAAGATATATATCTACAGCATATACAGACTAACATGATTATGGCCAAAGTCACTTAAGAGCACCACCTTCACAAATAGCTGTCCTTAGAAAAAGAGAGATGGAACTGTCTTTAGCCCTGTCCATGTCAAATCAGAGGACGGAGGAAGAGACAGTTCTGTTGTTCTAAATGAGATGCAGTGACTCAGAAACACATTCAAAGACATTAAATAGAGACATGACAATAGACAACAACACATGGAAACCAAAACCAAACAAAAATATATGGATTCAATGTGGAATCCTTATGTGCTATTGCCTACATGACCGTAGTTACATGCTCGACCACCTCTATAACAACCTCCACACAACTGGTGACTGTCCCTTTAAAATAAAATGTTTCTTATTCTTGCACAGTCACAGCGTGTTGTTACTTGGGTTGTGGAGATTTTAACTGAATATCAACAAAACATATTAGCTTATAACGGTGATCATCCCCATCTAATGTGCATCTTTCCATCACACGTGAAGATTACCACAATGCCTGACCTAAAAGCCATTCTGCAGTGTGATGATGACAATCTGTTGAATTTATTCTATACGTTACTATAAAGTGTCTCAGTTAGAGCGATTTGTACTTATGCCCACTCGTCATATGGTAAACATGTTTATGAATCTGTCTGCAGACAATGCACTAATTACAACCTGTGTGGATGAAATAACTCCCAAACTTTCCCAATCATTCCTGTTAATTCCCATGGAAAAGCATCACCCCTGAATAAACTACAAATAACCAATCTGCAGGGTTTCACTGCCCAAGACATATGGCTCAGAGAACAAGGTGCTAAATGTGACAACAAGAAAAACAAATTTAGACTTAAATATTCATTTAAATATAAAAATTCTATACATAGAACAATATGGTAGAGTTGAAATCAATAAACAGATGTTTTATCATATCAAAACTCAAAGAGATGTATATATGGTGCTTGTGAAAGGACTTTTCTGAAAAGCAGGAGAAAGATGAGGACACACACACACACACACACACACATATATATATTAAAACTCATAGAAACTGACACCTTCTCCCAGAGCTCTACCAGGTAGGCATCATGTCTGGGAACCAAACACGACCCAAATGCTTTGACACTTCCCAGTGGATATCATCCAGCCCATAGCGGTGATCTGGGACCAGCACTTCCTCCATGATGGACAGCTGTGTCAGTCTGTCTCCACACATCTTGACAAACTCCACGAAGGCGCTGCAGGACACTTCACACTCTCCCAAGCCGATGGCCGACAGCTGCGTGCAGCGTTGGGCAATGCAAATCAGCTCTTCATCCAGCGGCCGCAGCCCGTTGGCGCACACCACCAGCTCAACCAGACGCGGGCAGGTGAGCCCAACGCGCCCCAGGACGTCTTTACTGACAGAGCGGCCGAAGTATAAATGCGTAACGGGGATTTCATCACGGAAGAAAGGGCCAAACTCATCCTCATAGAGAAAGAAGTACATGACCAGATTAAATTTAGGAGAGTGGCGCACCATGGCGTCCCAGCTGCTCTTCTTGATGGTGTGGAAATGTTGGCCAGGATTCTCACTAACCACGTCGATGCGAAGGTGCTCGAGGTGAACGTGCTTCTCTGAGGACAGGGCGATGAGAAGTTCATCACTCAACAAATGGTAGTTGAGAGCCAGTTCTCTGAGGCCATGGCATTGATCGGCCACACACAGGATGCCTGGAATAGAGAGAATAGTAAATTAGGAGCCTATAGATCTAACCTGCCTGTTTAAGGCTGAGCACAGGAAAAGATGAGGCAATGTTAGCCACCACTGTTATACCTTCCCATAGATTTTAGACTTAGGAAGACTGATTTACTGATCTGATGTATCATAACATTGTAATTAAAAGCCTAAAATATCTAGAATTCAATATCAATCTCCCCTCCCATCTACATTAATGTCCTCTTAGTCACTTCTGCCCAATTAACTCCTTGAACGCTAATTAACATACTTTTATATTCCTTTCACTTTCACCATTCCCTCTCAAGGTCTGCTAAAAACACAGATGTTACAGAGATGAACAAAGATTTGCATCAGTTATAATTGTTCTTGATCAATCAGATTAGTCATTATTAATCATTAACATTCCTAATATCTGTTATTTTTGCTATTATCCAGTACCTGCAGGTGAAACGTGAGGGCAGCTGCTCATTTTCAGCAGTTTGAGTGTGTCGCTGTTATTAGCCACCAGGACTTTGAGGGAGGGGTCGTCAACCGGTGTATCATCAATCTTCAGTGAGGACAAGGATTTGGAGTTGACAAAAACCACTGTCAGTGCTGAGATGAAGTGAGACTGGTGAACAGGGTGAAAGATAGAAACATTTCATCATCCTTTTTTTTTTTCGGTAAACATAGTCCGTCTTTCAGGCAGCCCAAGATGCTAGTTTTATTTCCCAAAGACATCAAGCAATCTGACAAGCAGACGTAGCTAGCGACCTCAGTTTAATTCTACTACACATTTCCACATTATCCCATCACCCCTGTCTAAATGTATGTGCATCTTTGGGCAGGTGCTTGTAAAGTACAAGATGCAAAAAAAACAGACACATGCTCACACCCACTTCTGCCTTAATATTATGTGCATCAATTAAAAAAAACAAACATGCAAATGTGCAGCCATACCACTTTGTTAACGGATTGTTAACAAGATTGACTGTCAAAGAAAATGGCTGAGTGCAATGATTTTAGCTTACAACTTAGAGATCCGAAACTATACACCTTGTCACAGGCACTTGACAATCAGAACGGCAGCATCTTAAGACACTGATCAGAGATTATAGCTTTAAATTGGAGAATTGTTTCACCATGGCAGTTGTTACAATTGTAGGCTTTGCTTGTAGATAGAGATGCACAGACAGAATTATCATGCTGCATCTTACTTTGGGCAGCTCCATGAAACTGGGCCGAGCTGTGGAGATGAGCCCCAATGTTTTCAAAGAACAATTCACGAGCTGAGAGAGGATGTCGCACGCTGCCTCCGCAGACTCTCTGCTGCTGTCCACCTAAACAGTATGGAGATAGAAAAACGAGAACCCACTGACACTTTCATTTGGACAGAATATAAGAACGCACTTCACTACACACTTCATTACTTTACCCATACACTCCTCCTCTCCTTTTCACTATCAGTTCATACCTTGAAGCTGACATATTGCAGGTGGTTGGAGTGCCTTTTGATTATCTGTTTGATGAGGTCTGGGTGTGTGGCCTTCAGGTAGGAGCTGGCTGGCTGGTTTAACTCGAACTCAAAACACCGCCACAGCTCTGGCATGTGAAAAGCCTGGTTCCAACCTCGACACACCTGTAGTGGCAAGATTAAAATCAAAATTTGTTTGTGCTTGACGCCAGCCTTTTTGGTATTTGTAGAAATTTCTGAATTTGGAGAACAATTTATTTTAAGTTTGCATTTCACATACTGGCAGTATTCAACTAAAAACATCCAGTTATTCCATTTAAAATTCAAAATCCTCTAACAGATAAAGGTTGATAGAATAAAGGTTGGTTTAATAAAGTCATATTGAAACAATAATGAAACAATCTCAACGTGCAGTCTGCATTGTTATTTCAGCAGTGTTAAATAAAATCCTCACATGACACATGCCACCACAAATACCGCTTGCTGTCAAATATTATCCACTAAGTGTAGCAATTGATGGGATATTACTACATGGGCACCTGAGAGGCATAAGCCCTGTCCAGTAGAGGCAGGTACTGGAAGATGTGGAGCAGGATCTCCTGAGGCAGACATTCCCAGCGGGCACCCTCCTCCTCCAAATCTTTCTCCCTCCTCTGCTTGCAGGGCCGTTTAAGGGTCTTCTGAGACCCACCGCTGGTGCCACCTCCTTCCTCCTGCTCATTCCCTTGGAGAACTCGTTTCATCCTGGGTAAACAGAAGAGTAGTTAACAAGATCCAGATGGTTGAGACGAGTGAATTTTACAGGGGAAAGAAAGTCTTTATTAGCAGTACTGTTTATACATGGCTTCTTCATCACAAGACCCGACATGCTTGGCAGACTAAATGTTGCCCCATTAAGACTGCAGTCCACGTCTGGGTAGGCTGATTCATGCTGACACATACTGAATACATATATGTGAAATGATGCATGGTTGTAACTGTTTTCATTATCGGGTAATCTATTAATAATCTATACATAAATTAAATATTAAGATAACAAAAGATTTTAATTTCACTATGATATGAAACTACAGCTGCAGCTCCTCATATATATGACACTCCAACAAAGAAATGTTTGGTAGTTTTATATGATAAATGACTTAATTGCAATTAACAGATTTTTTTAAATTGTCATTCATTGATTTTCTTAAGACTTAACGTTAATTATCGTTGAGGCACTGCAGGGTTGCCATACAATATCCTACTTTTTCTACATCGGCTAAGAGTATAATACATTCATGACTGTGTCACCCTGCATCTCACACCCTGCTACTACCTGCTGGACAGGCTCAGGGGCATCTCTGCAAAACCTGCACCTTGGGTCCTGTCTGCTGTGGTAGACCCTTGCCTGTATGGATCTGATGCTTAGGGCCTGTTCTGGGGCTGCTATGAACGGAGCCTGTCCTTCAGGCCGGCCTTTGCTAGACATTGGCAGGATTTCTTGATGTTAGCCATTTCCTTGTTTTCCGTGTGTGTATACTATACACGTTTTTCAGTTAATTTACACTTTTATCTCTGGTTGTAGTAGCCCATTGTTAGTTACTCACTGAAAGTAGACATTCATGTCTAGTTATCCAAGTTAATGTTATTTTCTTATGCAATTAAAAAAACACCAGACAATGATATTGCTACAACTCAGGGGGAAAAAATGGAAGTTGTTGCCTGTTATAGATGTCTGTCAGACTTGATGAACATCTTTCTATTAAGCAACATGGTAACATTTTTGTGAAGAGACTAAGACTGAAGTTAGGGTTTTATTTATCATTTCAGACACAAGTCCTGTTTTTCTTTAGAAGCCGGGAAGGCTGGCCTCCACCTGCCATCTTCTTACAAATTCTTGATTACAGTGACTTATTTAACTTCTTTTCTTTCATCAGTATTGGTCGATATTAATGGGATGTCGTTAAATATTATTTGAGAGTACCAGCTAAAAATGATTGGTTTCCCCTTTATCACGCATGCAAAAATTACACTGTGAAAGTTAGTCCCTTGGTTACAGTGGTGTTTATATTGTATTGCCCAGACCTGCCTGACAGACTGAATTACCTGCAGAGCTGCAAAAAGGCAAATCTGTCTATAACAAGGTGTCTTCTCTGCTCACCTGAGAATGAAATCACAGGACAAGAAAGGCCACGCCTCCCTCTGTCTCAACCTACACCACCGTCAGACAAAGTTCGCTTCTGTCCACAAAAACTGTCTTTAATTACCAATTTCTGCACATAAATGGCGCGATGTTAGCGACCTTTAATGGTTAGTTTACAACACAAATCCATCATACCAAGACAAGAGCTTAGCTTAGCTTAGCCGAACCGAGCCTCGGATCTTGCTAACTACTTAGCAAACAAGTTGTGATGAATGTTAAGTGACAAATGAAAAATAGCTTATTTGGACACGTAGTCGGGGTTCACATGAGTTGTCTACCTAGCGTTTTTCTTACCTGGCTTTCGCCTTCGTCGGATGTTTGTCAGAAAAAACGCTTACTCAACATCAACCGGGACCGACACAAGAAAACTGCGTTCGAGCTGGCCTACCGATCAAACACATTGGACCATAGGACAGCACGGGGTGTCGGGAGGTTAGCAGACACTGATTACAAGCTTATTCAAGGAGGTTTTCAAAAGTCCTTTCGTGTTCCGAGCGCCTGACCTAGTTTCTCTTCACAACTCTGCTGCTTCGGTAGTTTGCCTGTCAGCTAAAGATGGCGTTTGTGTTGTTGTGTCAAGCTGAGTGGGCTGGCCTGCAGCTTCAGTGAACTGTCGGCAGGGGGAGTCATTTCACTGTACTGGAGTTATTCCCCATTGCATTGTAATTGGTTCAGGTTCCAACATTTCAATAAAGATAGTATAATGAATCCAAATATTAGGCAAAGGGTAATCATACTCAACAATTGTACATACAAACAAACAACGGAATATATACACATAGTTAGGGGGCTGGTCAGTTTAATAGTGGTATTTAAAAACAAAAAATCAATTCTGTGTACAAAACACACCCATAGAGTTTCTCCAAGACATAAACTGTACACAAGGACTGCAGACCACACATTTCAGACCACAAAATTCAATGGAGGCACATTGATAGAAATGTGTCTAATCAAATATTCTTGTAATTAATTTCACCAGTGTTACCCCAAAATGTGCTTTCGCTGTTAATTTTCTGCCATTATGTAGGTGATCAGGGTCAGATTTAGCTTCTGCTTTTCCTCCACATAGATGACATTGACTCACAGTGCAGGTGTTTTAGTAAATTGCTGGAGTTGGCCCTGAGTAAATGCAGAGGAGGGTGTTGTGTACTGACATATTGGCAGTTCTGAGGTGGATACAAGGGCATACCAGGACATGCCTGGTACCCCTTATGATGCCCCTAAATCTTGCGTTGTTTTCTCCCTGAAACAGGGAATCCCCTTTTCAATGTAATATTGTGATATTAATAAGAACATTCTTACATGACAGCTACTATATTTTTGCTGTGTTGTGAAGACCATTTATGATCTACTTTTCATGAAGATTCTTTCAATTAATGAAATAGTGTCATTTTGGATTGCAACATGTGGCAACATCAGTTAGTTTGTGTGGGGAAAAGTGTGTATTGCACTTGGCCACCACCATACCACTGCTGCCAAACTCTGAATGGTCAGGAATATTTTTTAAAATGGTTGCGTGAAGCCACATGCATTGTGGCCTCTTACCAAATACTTTTTAGCAGCATTGAAAAAGCAAGCTGGTTTTCAAGTACTGTGTTTTTAAGACTACTTAAACATCATAGAGAGCAGTTTAAAAACCAGAGTTGAATACTGAGTCAACATTAATATCCCAACAATGACACTCATCTTTTATATCGCAGAATACATTCAGTAATAGATCACATTTTAGGAGAAGACATTGTAGTCCAGCACACATCAGGAGACTGGGACTGAAAGTAGACTACCACATCCCAGCTCTGTCACTCAGGGTGGTCCGAGAGCCATGGTCTCACACAGGTAGTGCCGCTTGCCACCACAAATAATGTCATCCCAGGAGTTTAACCAGTCCTTCCCTCCAGTGCCTCTCGGTGGCACAATGGCAACACAGTCTTGTCCTGACAAGTCGGTGTCCCAGTCGGGAACGGCATTGTTTGGCTCCGATTCCTTCCAGTAAATGACATCCCACTTGATAGTGTTGCCATTGACCCATAAATGGGTGCCCTCCTTCACCATGTCCTGCAACCCGATCCACGCTGAATGGAAGTCTTCTTGAGGGTGTGCCTGTACATACTGGAAAGTCATGTTGGTCAAGAATGCCTGGTCTTCAGCATTCAAAACAATAGCCAGGTCACCACCCATGCTAATGCACAACTGGCGAGCAACTTCCCACTTCTCTGCTACTGAGGACAGGAAGAAGCAGCGTGAGGCGTGCTCGACCCAGCCTGGCAGGCAGCGTGAACAGTGCAGTGTGCTTTTGTTGCAGAATCCCCAGAGGAAGGTCAGATGGTTAGAGAACAGGATTGAACGCTGTTTTTGATTTTCTGCTTCCAGCTGCATGGAGGTTTGCTGTTCATTGATTAACAGCTGGTGCAGGCGTTTGTTTTCTGCAGTTTCCGTAGTGATGATTTGCAGTGATTTGTTCAGATGCAGGTTCAGTTGTCTCTTCTCTTCTTCCACAAGGCTGTAGTTTTCCATGGTTGATTTTAGAAGCATGTTCAGCTCTTTGTTTCTCACTTGCAAATGTGTTTTTTCTTGCATTGTATTCTTCAATAGCATGCTCAGCTGTGTTTTTTCAGATGACATCAAAGTCAAGTTGTACAGAGTGGCATTCATGAACAGTTTCAGCTGGCCATATTCACTTCTCAGAAGGGTGATGTTTTCAGTGCAGTTCAGAAGTTGCTTCAGCTCACTGTTTTCTATTTGCAACTGCTTGGTGATGTTCCACATAGTGAATACCTCCTCTGCCGTATACTGAAATCCTGCTGTCACACTTTGGTTTTTATTTATCTGAGTAAAGAGAATGCCGGTCACACCACAAAAAAGCACCATCAAAACAGCAATCAAAATGGCTTGCCACATGGATCCCAGTCTCCTCATGCAGTTGTTTTGAGTGTCTCCTCTGTTTATCTCATCTTGAACTTCTGAGGCATTTTTTTCCGGATCCTCACCAGAATGTTCATTAGGAAAACTAAGAATACAAAAAAGACAAGGGATCAAGAGATGTACTGTAAACAAGAAGTTCTAAAATCACACTACCAGGTAAATACCACATTTTAATTACAAATTGGTGTAGTAGTATGCTCTCAAATTCCACATATCTTCATTACAATTAGCTTCTTATCTGATTGTCCCCAGCAATCACTGGACAAGCACCTGTGAAAACATTCCTCACCTGTTGGACTGTTGGGACTTATATACAATACATTTGATAATTATATTACGTATGGCACGTTACGTTACCCTATGAGGGAGAGAGAAAGAGGAGTGATCAAAAAGCAAGTGTGTCTCGTTTTGCTGCCTCTCTCTCATTGACTCCAAAAGTTCTATTTACAACCATAAAAAGCAGCAGGATAAGAAAGTGAACTAAATCACGTGTTCTGTATGTCTTTCGATCTCCACTACTCTTAAATCACAGACCAGCACCTACACACAACAAGCAGCTTCATTACAATCAGCTGATCGGATTTTGTGTGTGTGTGTGTGTGTGTGTGTGTGCGTGTGTGCGTGTGTGTGTGTGTGTGTGTGTGTGTGTGTGTGTGTGTGTGTGTGTGTGCGTATGCGTGTGTGTGCGTGCACGTGTTGCTATCATGGCTATATGTTGTTATATATGTTACACTGTGGCAGGGCAAATTAAATTTTGGATTCATTTAATACTACAAATAATAAGTTACTATTTTAATGGGAAAACAAGTCAAATATCATCTTGATATTTGCAGAGGCATGACCAATCAGCGATCATTCTGATGATCGTTGATCAGCGTTATCATCATCCATTGGCATAACCCTAATTCCCATCTCCTAAAATATTTGCATATTTCACTTGGATTGGACCAGGGGAAGGTTTAGTAATTTTTGGATGGGGGGAGGGGTGCACAAACTGTTTTTAAGAAGCGAGGCACATTTGAAAAATGAGTAAAAATGTGTTAAGAATTACATTCAAAGCTCTGTTTCTTGGTAATAACAATCTCTATCAACTGCTGTTATTTTCTTTATTTATTACTCAGTGTAGTGAATGAATGCCAAATAAATAATTTTTATTATATTATAATAAAAATAGAAATATTTTAGTATGAAATAATAGATAGATAGATTAAACAACAAGATAAAAGTAATCTAACAAGAAGTAGAGGAAAAGTGTTAAAAATTATTGAAAGCTCAACAAACACTTAATAGAGATTGAATAAAAATAGAGTAGATTTCAGGTTAACACTTAGACAAACCTGCAAGGTTGGACAGTGGGTCCAAGTGGGCCATGCAGGGGCATGGCTGAGAGCAGTGACTGGTTGTGACATCAAAAAGTTACGTAAGTCCTTACGGCTTGTTTATGGCACAAATTCTGAGTATATATTTTATGGATTGAACACTTTGATACTTTAACAGTATTTTTATAGCACCTAGACCTGCTTTATAATCAAAAAAGACATGGAATTCTCACTTTCTACAACATGGGACCTTTAAAGGGCCCAAGCTTCCTCACGAAGTAGGCCCTGCTCTGTCCCTTATACTGTAGACAGCCCATGTCTTGCATTTCAAGTCTGTTGTTAAGGTGGGCTCCAAGGTCTTTGTATCACCTTCACTTTCTCTCCAAGAATGATGACAAAGCTACCAAGCACAAAGAATATAAAAAACACCAGAAAAACCAAGAAAAGTCCTCCAGGCACCCAATATCCATATTAGGGTGTAAAAGCACAGCAAATAGAGTGTTTAAAGATAATGACACAAAAGTACAAAACACAACAACGTTAACTGGATCTATTGCAACAGGCTGCCACTACAGCAGCACCATCTTGAACCAAAATCAATAAATATGCTATTTGTAACTCTGGAACAAGACTAAAAAAAAAAGAGACAAAATGACAACAAACAACACATCCTTTGTAGTCATTTTGTGGTCATTTTGCGTAATTTAGCGGCATTTTGAATGTCTAGTCTTTTTGAGTCAATTTGTGGTAATTTTCGTCTTTCTTGGTCAACTTCTATTTATTTACTTTTTGGTCTCTTTGTGGTAATTTTGCATACAAATAGCCACCCCTCTGATTTCTGTGAATTTTGTCAGGAGCAAACTAACATACAAATAAACAGCATTTGTTAAATAATTTTCTTCTCTGCCCCTTCCTCTCAAATCTTCACTACATCAAACGCTCTCACGATTGGTAAATGTTATCGCCCAATATTCCCACCCTGACTACCTTGTCCTATAAATTATTGAATCCAAAAATAAGTAATTTCTCAAACACTTTAAAAAATGCCAACAGTCAGAAACGGCTCTAAACTTACTGTACCATGTACTTACCTCACTTGGATCTCCTCTGCGTCGCTGTTACTGTGGTTTTCCTCTGGATTTTCTGTTTTTCCTCATTCTTTTCCATTGTATAGCACTTCCATGTTTACTTCGGACCCGTGGTTGGCGCTACATGGAGCTAAAACGCCACCCGGAGCCCATTAGCAGCTCCACCAAGAAATTACCAAATGTTGAACATGAAGGTTCTTCTCTGATTTTCAGCGCCAGTTTCCATAGTAACCTCAACAGCAGAGCGAGATCGCGCTGCTGACGTTTTGCGGGATTCAACGTTATTTACTGGAGTAAACCGTTACCAAACAGTTCAGAGCATCTTTGCCGTTAGTTGGTTTCGGTCTGTGCATGAAGTACAATTCTTCTGCAGTTGTTCACGTTGTATAATGAAAAATACCAGCTTAGGGGCTATTCCCTAATTTCATTCTCCTACTTGGGCTAGTACAAATATATGATGATGTTTGTGAGCTCGTTCTCTATTAGCCGATGCTTACTGAACGTTGTTAACGCTTTGCGTATGTTATTGTCCAATTGAATGAAGGCGTGCAATTCAATTCAGCGCACCAAAGCACCAGTTTGTTCCATTATTCAACTTGTACAATGAAAATTGAACAAGGAAGTCGAGAGCCGGAAACAGAGACAGCCATTCAAGTAAAGGTTGCGCGTTTTGAACAAAGCAGCCAGCACGTTTGTACCGTATGTACCGTTAATTTAAGGAGAGCTAAGGTAAATAAATAAACAAACTGCAAAATAATGAACATAATTCATAACTGTTATAGTCTTTTTCTGCTAGCCCACAATGATCGGGAATATCCAGTGAGCACAGGAATTATTATAAGGTCTTGCGATTCATGTATTCATGTATTTAGACTGACATACAGATAGATCAAAAACTCAATCAATAACTAGAACTGGTTTGTGTTTCATTTTAGAGACTGAACACACAAATCCTCTAAAACAAGCAGGAAGTTAAGCAAAACTTAAAGATTGTGATCATATAACAATAATAATAATAATTGATTGATAAATGAATACTTCAGATCAAATGTGTTGTCAGACTTATTTAACATCAAGATCAATTCTGATGGAGTTCTTATGATCATACTGATCACAAAAGTTTTTTTTTGTAGCTGTGATGTTTGTATAAGCAGAAGAGCCATGATCAAAATGAAGGTGCAGTTTCGTGTTTGACCACAGGGAAGGAGCATATCCTCTGAAAATCAGTTTACATTGAACCACAGGCTGTGATATAATAATGGTAGTTACTTCTGCTATTACTGCTGTCACTGCAGCTGCCAGTAAAATCACTACATGACACCAATGTGACCTATAAGAACAGCATCAGACCAAAGCAGAGAAAAGTTCTGTAGTGTAACAGTTTTATTCCATTGTGACTTATGATATTCACTTCTGCAACAAAAATCAATAAACCAATATATGCCAATCAATATGACAAGCACTAATTCAACACTCTTTCAACAGGGATTACTTTGTTTTGTATTTTGTTATCTTACCATACCATAGTGACAAAGGAAATATCTATAACATAATTGTACAAAATCAGGGGTTTTTAAACCGTGCACACAGTCTTGGATCACTGTTAAGCTTTGTGTTGTTTCTGAAACTGGTTTTACGTAAACCTGTGTATTGGTTACACTGTCATCAATACAGCATCACTGAATGGGAATACTTACTGCACATGTACATGATGACTCATTCAGGTGAAAGATGTTTCATGTATAATGCCAGTATGTTATTAAGTAACTAACAAATACAGACAGTCTTCCCCTGATTCTTCAAAATTCATCACAGTGAGATGTCCCAATAGAAGTGGTGGTTGGCAGTATTTAGTTCACTGTGAGGGAAACAAGGCAGAACAGCTGCCATGTAGACCTGCTGACCCTCAGCTGAGTTAATAATAATTAAGGTCCTAACATTCTGTCTGACAATAATCATGCCAAAACATACATGGGAATTACTTTTCGGTGTGAAATGTGAAATGAAACTCCATGAGTTGATATACAGTTTCATGTTTATTAAAATGGGACGGATTTACAGGTTGTACACTCCATCCACATTGGCATTGATTAAGAAAGCAACAAACAAGTACAAATGCAGTATATACATACCAGTATACATATATTTATAAAATACAATAGCATTTTTTTCACAAATGTACTGTATTTTTATCATTATTATTATTATTATTATTATTATTATTATTACATGAAGTCATTGTTAGGAGGACCTTTAAGCAAGCTACACACAAATTGTTTGGACAGAAAGATGCTGTATATAAGCTGTGAATTTCTGTCATGGAAAGCAAGTCAACCGACAGTATATACAATATTCAGATCTCCATGTTAGAAAAATAGTCCCATGTTTGCACAAAGTCCCCAAAAGAAATTTTTGCTTGCAATTACAGAAGGCTAGCATCAACAGCACAGGCACCAGAGAAACAAGCAAACCCCACAACAGTGATGTGTTTTGATCCGTTGGACAATTGAATATAAGGTTAAAATTAAACATTTAGGGAGGGACACTATCTTTTCTTTTGAAAAAAGTTACAGTCCTTAGAGGCTTGATTTGGGAATCCTGAACAATTTCTCTCTTTCAGAACTAATTTGGATGAATATCTTGCAGATAATTTGTAGTGTGTAAAGGGGGAGGATTCATTTTTACGTCTTCTGATCTTAACTAAATCTGGATGGGCATCTTCAGACAGTGGCACATTTCAAGGACGAGAGACAAGTGTTAAATATGAAAAAGAAAACATGGAGCTGCACTGATTTAAGAGTGTATTCGATGTACAGCAGCTTTATATGACAATGTTGTGTTTTCTCTCAGTGCTCTGTTATGCAATTCATGCGTCCTCTGCCACCTTGGATAACCTCGGTTTTTCAAAGGGAAATAGTTTGACTTAGACTTTTTATTTTAGCAAAGCATCACCTCCAGTGGACACTGAGGAATGTGTCCCTGAATTTGACTGTTCACACAGTTGAGCGACACAAACACATTATGCACCTGCCATTAGTTTTGTGTGTCTGGGAGAAACATTTATCAAGTCCAAGCTGCCCTTTATTATTAACTGACACATACATAATATTTGGAAAGCACTAAAAAGACAAAGCAGTGCTCTGTGATGACAAGTCTGTAAAGAATTCTAGGGCTTCATTATGATAGAATAGGGCTGACTTCTGTTTCTGCAAGAGGTGTCAGGATTAAAAGGTTAAAGCCATAACCCCAGCATTTATGAGGGAAGCAGTTATGACAGCTGAGATGTATGAAGCTGTATTTTCTTGGGCCATCAAAATTATGGATGAAACTGTTTTTTAGTCCTCTCACAATTCCCAAACATTAAAGAAAAGGTTTAAGTGTCATGTGCAGTGCATTATGTGCATTATAAAACCATTTTCTTTGACAATCATTCATTACTTTCATAAGGAGAGTGGAGGAAATGCATCCTCGTCAACATGAAGCATTTAGTCTGGAGGCTTCATACCAATGACCATGACCGTCATAGCATTTCCTTTACACCAAGACCAGGGTATGCGTTGATGGATTGTGGAACAAAAGGAACAAAATGGAGAACATTTGGAAGATTTGTTCCAACCAGCTTTAAATTGTTTTTTCCCCCATTATTCAAAAGGCATATTCAGGGCACTGAGTAGAATAGTAAAGAATACGATAAAGTTATTTCCATAATGCTCCACCTGTGGTTCATTGCATTTGTTTCAAAAACTTTACACATTACTGCCATCTTGTGGTCACATACTTTTTTACAGCTTAAACAAAAATTCATAACAATATGTAAGCTCTGAAAAAGATAAGTGAATTTCTCACAGATAGTAATAACAGATAAAAACTAATTATCTTGTGAAAATTGACAGGGTTTATTCAGCTCTTTGGAACAATTTATCTCCTTTCCCCACCTGAAGTAAATTAAAAATATCTTTTTGTGGCCCTCCTAAATATTTAACCAAACAAAGTGGATCCATGATGGCAGGAGGGCAGTGAAGATCCCTCTAGATTTATTTAATGACTAGTAGTCACTCAAAATGAGACAAAAATCCTGAAGCTTGATTTCATGTTTCATTTCACTTTACATTGTGTGCCATCTATAACTTAGTCATAAAATTTGCTTTCATGTTTCACTTGTGTATAGTGACATATTATCATTAAAGAATATTTGATTTAGAAGGTCAATCAGATTGACCCCTGATGTAGTTTGAGTACTGATCCAAGTCTCCAGTCACACTTAATGATGATTAGTAAGCGAAATGCAAGATTTCATGTAGTGTTTTACACTGTTGATCTACAGACAATAACCCCAATATCAGGACATTCATAATCTAATAGGTTTGTATCAAATTGCTGCTGGTAAGTCACTAATTGAATTACTATAACTATAACCTCCCTTGCTCTTATAACAAAGGGAAAATAAAGCAGCAGTGAGACCAGATCTCAAAGACGGACATAAAACACTCTTTTTCCATCAATACTGATGAGTCTCACATTAAAACCTAACATTGCAATGAGCAAGTTATATTATTCATGCTTAAGAAATGCAACAGAATTCAAATACAGTGTGTTCTGTAGTCCAAGCAGTTTCTCAAATTTAGGTTTAAAACAGTGCGAGCGAAGACAAGGACAGGCTCAGTATTCGACCCACAGAAAAGGACAAGAGCCCATCTTTAATTAATTCTCTGTTTAAATGGATTAAAGGGCAGGGTGACTTAGCTGTTGGTTTTTTACTTCTATAAAAACTTGCAGTCTGAAAGTGTGGTATAACTGTGGCAATAAATAGCTGAAATCATCTGTTTCTCCCTCTCACACACACACTCACACTCGCACAGCTTTCTCTGTGTTTCTCATTAACTCCATAGCAGATTCTACTATGGCAATGTGTGTTCTGTGCTTTTTTTTACCCCCTCAGTCCTCAGTTATCCAAAATCTCAGCACGTCCTGCTTTAGTTTGGTGCCTCCGATCACAGGTCACATGACAGTTTCAAGTCTCACGTATGGTTACTGCTATTAGTTAATTGTCTCTTAGTGGGAGAGTCTCTTACTCTCTGGGCGACGCAGTGAGTGTGGACAGGTACTCCACCTGGCAGACACACCACATCGGGATCACTGAAGGTGTTGTGGCACAGGTGGCATCCCTTCTTTTCAGACACAATGATGGGTTTCTTGCGCTCTTTCAACTGGAGGAAAAAATATTAGACAGAAGAGTTACAAGTTAAAGCAGAAAAGAGCATTAAGACAACACCCTATATGTTAAAATCCCATGAGCAAATGGAGTAATTTATTATATGGGTTCCCTGTAGACAGAAGACACATTATTCACTGATACAATCATATCTGACTCAATCTGCCAATTCATGTCTGGTAAAATTTCAACCATTAAAGATGAATAACATACCAAGATTCTCCTTAAAATTTTGGACACTTTCAATTTTTTTATTTTAGAAAGGTTGTCAAGGTTCAGTTGATGACTGTAAGTGAAGATTATTTTCATTATCAAATAATCCGTCGATTATTTTCTTGATTTATCAATCAAACTTTTGGTCAATAAACCAAAATCAGAAAATGGACGTGCCCCTGGAGATCTTAAAATATCTCATTTGCATTCGACCAAAAGTCAAAAAACCAAATATGTTCACTTTACCATACATTTATCACACTAGAAAGCATAAACTCACATTTGAGAAGCTGGAACCAGCAAAAGTTGCAGATTACCAATTGCTTAAATGTCTAATCTTTGCAGCTCCATTTGAGTTGTTCACTGTTTCAGAGGTTTATTCAGGATTGCTCTATTGGAGAAGTACTTACAGAAATCATGTTAAGTTATCATCATTATTGCTGTTAACCCTTTGTAAAGCTGATGCTGTCTTGTGCTTTAAAATAACAAACTTGGTCACAAAACAAAAAAAAGGTCATAATATAATAAATGATGGTATGGTACCCAAGCCTGTTAAACTAATTTGTGCATTTTTGTATTGTGTTATGCGTTTCTCACCCTGTCATGCAGCAGTTGAAGGTTTTCAGAGTGGGCTAACCCCAGAGCAATCTGGGAGGTGCGGCAGGCATGCATACTGGCCCTGACAGCTCGACCCAGGAAGGGCCGCAGCAGCTGCAGTGACCAGTTTTCAGGGAGCATGCGAAGGACACGGACTGCATCAAACACCTCGCCATGACGATTTAGGAGGTCCACTGCTGCCATCTCCAGATCTCCACTGCCACCTCCTGTTGCTGTCTGGGATTTTCCAGGAAGGTTCCCATCTAGATAAACCCCCAGCAGCAGGTGAAACAACTGCTGTCGGTAAGCAGAATCCCGACAAGATGAGGCCCATATACAGAAGGCCTCAGCAGACGAGAAGTCTCTGAGTTTGTGCACCAATATGTGCAATGCTTTATCATGCTCCTCCAGTTTTCCATGTAGTGTTGCACGCTCTAGCAGCAGTTGTTCACAGTTCTCCATCTTACCTGAACAGAAAAGAACATGAAACATCACCACAATCTCCCCAGTCATTTAGAAACAAAGTCTTGAGAATAACGCATTGCTATGAAGGTATTTCCAGTCGCCTTTACACCCTGAACTGCACTTAAATCTGCATTGCATTTATGGTGTTATAATCTGCAATAAAATATCTGTTAAGTCTAAACTATTACAACTCACTACTAAATAACTTAATTAGCTGGTCAAGATACTGCAAAACAACATTCAAAAACACAAAGATCCCTCTTAAAATATTCAACTGTAATCATCTTCAGACATGAGGTGACATTGTCTCACCTAAAAGAAACTGTACACGGTATAGGTTGGACTCCCTGAGCAGGGCTTGGAGCCTCTCTCTAGCTCTAGTTAGCTTCTCTTCATCTGTTGGCGACTTTGACAACAGTGACAAGACCCTCTCCAGGTACAACACAGCCAGGTGTGTGTGGAACTTCTCTTTCTGCATTCACAAACATGGAAGAAAACAATCTGAATTAAAATCAAATTTTCTTTGGGAAGGTGCTTGGATGAAAAAAAAAAAAAATATTAGCTGCTAAATCCTCCAAAACGGTTATCCTTAAGAGACTATAGTTACATCGACTGCAAATTGAAATATTCCAATATTAATTTTGATTCATTACTCTCAGTAAAAATTTAAGCAGGATTTTGCTAATTACCTGAATCTGAAGGACTATTAAAGACAACCTTAAAAGTGCAACAAAACATAAAAAAGGAAGACTTGAACTCTCAGTGTGAATACATAACAACTCATAACAACTACTGATAAGATCACGAGAAAGCCCCTTGTTCCCCAACTACTACTGTAGTGCGTCTCTAACCAACAGGTCAGACTGTAGTATAAAAGAGCTTTGCTCTAAGTGAAAATATCTTGGTTGAATAAAGTTTTAAAAACTGCATTCATCCATCCATTTTCTCAAGCACTTATACTTATGTTGCATGACTCCTGGGAGGAGCCAGACTGAAATTAAGGGTGTACATTACTTTTAAAGTCAACCTAATTCACTTAGCTCACAAGTCAGGGTTGCAGAGGGAAGTCAAGAGACAGTACTAACCACCGAGTCAATGTGTTTCGTGACCAGGTTCATCAAAATACTTTCATATTGGGAATGTGGTCAATAGTGAGACTGCTGCAGTCCATGTAATTGTATCCACAATAATAATGCAATTCAGTACTTTGGAGAATTGATACTGCAGTGAAATTCCTCTTATGATGCTTGCTACGCTGCAGGGGTAGTGTTTGGATGAGCTACAACACATTAGGATTTTTCCTGGCTCAGTATGAGATGGAGGTGGCACAATCCTGATCATATGCACAGAATCCTGAGGAATTTGACATGTTTTTTTCTGTCACTGTTGTCTTTATCTAGGCTGATACTAAAAAACACACACTTTAAATTATTCCAGGTCTCAGGTGTAATTTAAAATCGGGCAGTTTAAAATGTCTTTGGTTGAGATGAATAAAAAGTGACGTTAAAATCACATAGACATCAGCATCGTGTTAAACATTCCTGATCACACGGCAACTGAAAACCCACATCCTGTCTTGCAATCTCATTCTGATCCTCTCCATCACCGGTCCCTTCCACTTCTTGTGGTTGTACACTACTTCTAGACCTGACAAATTCACTGCATCTTGTCAGTAACATACTTTTTAAATGCGCTTTTTCTTCTTCTGCAGCTTTGGCAGTGTCTTTCCCGGTGGACTGTGCTGATTACAATACAGCGCCACCGAATCAATGTAATGGCACAATTGCAGTTAAAAAATGACAGATGTCTACCAAGTGCAACTGGGGTTAGAAAATAAGCAGTTCGTTGAGAGCTGGAGGCAGCACAAAATTTGACAGAAGCGACCGCCTCATAATTCTCTATGCAGGAAAACCCTGCACATCTCTGATCTGATTTGGTCAATGACACTTGAACAGATCCAACACTAACACCTGAACCAGAATCTTCCAGCTCTCTGTCATCCCCCCACTAACAGCTGATAACTTCATCTTTTTATTGTACCTGTATCCTTCTCTCCAGCACCAGGTATTCCAAGTAGAGAAGCAGCGCCTGGCTGTGCTTTCCCAGGTAAGTGATAACATCATCAGGTTTCAATTGTGACTGATCCTTACAGAGAGGTCTCTTAGTAAAGATGTGGACGCCTATCTGCAAACAAAAAAGAAAAGCAAGGTTACTATGCACAATGTCAGAAAATTATGTTATGAACTGATATGAAAATGATGCAATGAAAGAGGAAGCATGCAGAATACAAGACACTCGACAACCAACAGTGTCACAAGAAAAGAGAAAGAAAAGAAAAGACTTTGTTCTAAAAAAATAAAAAATTAAAAAATTTAAAAAATCACATTTTTAGTCTGCTTTTTTCATTCAAGCCATAAATGAATGGAGATGTATGCTAGCACATACTCAATACAACTCAGTGTCTTCTTTTTATTTAATAAGGACCTGAAGAAATGGCTTGCGAGTACTGGAAAGTAACAGATTACATGTCTCCACCCGCCCTGACTGTCTTATTCTGCATGTCTATATGTCAATCATCCAATTTGAAACGTAGAGATCTGTACTTGTTTTGACCATTACATAATTATTATTTGCAGTTTTTTTTCTGTTACTCCATGGGCATTGTCCTTTTATTAACTATTGAAATTAATTATTGAAATGTAAATGAAATAGAAGGAAAAAAAATCAACTGGTTTACATTGTTGTTAAGCCTGTTAATAAATCAGGTTTACACAAAGTTGACTGGCACCAGTTATCTTTGACTTACAGTACAGTTACATTTTTGAGGCAATTTAAGGTACTCGTAACCTACGGTGGGATCCTTCTGCAAGGCCCAGTCTGCATACTTCCATACAAGATCCAGATTGGAGATGGAGCAGAGAAAGTCCACAATGTACTCATAAAGGTCAGATCTTGTGGAGTCCTGCAGATCCCCATCTACCACGCGAATCCACAACTGTCAGAAACATAAAGGGGAAATAGGTTCAATTCCTAAACATTAATGTTGGTGCCGATTCTATTGTAAGAACCAGTCATATTTTAGGCATATGTACCTGAAGTGCTGCTGAATCCTGACCGTTAGAGTGATAGAGCAGCCCAAGTGCAAAATATCTAAGAGGGGGAAGAAGAAAAGCTTATTTCTCAAGATTCAATTTTTGTACAAAATAATTAAACTGGATTGACTAAACTGGACACAGTATTAAGGCTTAACAATTTGGCAATTAACAGCTAGAGGCAAAAAAAAAAAAAAAAAGATCCAACAAAGCCTCATCGTCCCTGTAGGATTTTGCTAATTTTATGATCGCATTAATTGGTGAAAATTATGCTGATCCCCACAGTGTCCACAAGAGTGTTAATTTTTTCTCTAATTAACACAATTTTAACCATGATCTGACATGACCAAATTGAGACTACTAATTTACTCTAATTACTCTTTATAAAGTAATCAAAGCAAACACACATGCATTTAACATGTTCACAGTGCAGCCAGTTTCAAAATGTGTTTTTGTATTTATATATCCAATCCAGTAACAGTGCTTCTGCAGATGTGAAGGCTCTTAAGATTATAAAATGCCTGTGGGTGTTGAAATGCTGCGATCTTTATAGGTGATCAATTCTGTTAACCTTTTCTTAAAAGGGAGCATGTCGAAAACAAAAGAATGATAGTGTACACACTTGTGATATTTTTCTAGCCATGGGACGCTGTCTGCCAGCACGCAGGCATTGTCTGTAGCTAGCAGGTCTAGAAGGCTCTCATGGTCCTGTTCAGCATACAGCTTTAACAGTGCTGTGTCCACATCCTCTTTACAGCCATTTGCCACCTCTGTGCTCCGTACCTGTGTGTGGAGATAAAGAAAAACTTTTTGTAATACATAAACAATGTTACAATTCGGTGTAAATTAATCTTTTTTTACTCCATTTACCTCTCCCAAGTAAGTGATAAGGAATTTCTTGCATCGCAGCACTTTTTCCTGATCACCCTGTGCCAGGTGGTTGAGATCTGCAAACTCGTGGAGAGGAGGGTGGCAGCGTGTGAATGACGAGGAAGCTGGCAGCAGTAGCGGGTAGAGAGATATTAGCTCCCGCACATCTAGCTGACCCTTCCTGAAAACACAATAAGGTCAAAAAAAAAAAAAAAACAGCTGAGGAGTGAGGCAAGTGCACACAGATTCTTGGGTTCAAATTCACACCAAAAACAAATCCTCAAAAACAAATCCAAAGTCATAATTACATAAATTATGATTATTATATTAGTAGTAGTGACTCTCTATTGCAGCATTAATTACTAAAATATTTTCATAGATGAGGTAACGTAAGACTTTTGTAGGAATACCTTAGGGCCTGAATAGCATGACTGCAGAGTTTAATCTCATGAACAAAGCTGTTTAACAAAAGCTTGATATCAATCAAACACAGAGTCAGACTCTTACCTGAAATGTTCTTTTGCCTCTAGAAACTCAAGTTGGCCAAAGTTTATGAAACCTGCCTGCTGGAGGATTCTTTTGTGCAAAATCTGTACATGCAGACAGTGACAATATATGAGACAACTTTGTTTTTTAGTTTAGAAAAACATTGTAAATTATGTGGTTCCACTCAGATTAATGTTAAAGGTCTTACTATGGGCAAAGTATAGGCAAAGTTATTATATTATCATTGATTACTATGATACCAACATCATGTTATCACACACAATGTCATCTTTTCAACATACTTTCACACAGTTTGTTACCTGGAACTTGTCTTTGGGAATATTTCTCTGTGCTCCCTCTGTGAGGGTGAGCGCCTCCTCCACTCTGTGACTGGCCAGTAAGTCTTGTATCTGTCTCTCAAGCGGCAGGGGTACCAGGACATACACTGCCTTAGTGGAAGCCAGAATGACCTTCCCTAAAAACCACAACACTCGCAGGTCAGAATTTCAGCACTCTCAAAAAGCCAGAAAAATGAATATTGACATCACAGGTGGCCTGTCAATAAACAACGATGAGTCTGCTTAATTTTGATCCTGTGTTTTACACAATAGCCACAACAGCTTCATGTGGACCCAGTATTTTCAGTAACTAAATGCAAACCAGAGGTACAAACAGCATGTCACAACCCTCTGATACTTTCCAGCTTCAGCTCAGAGCTAGTTGTCTGAACATCAACTATAGGAATGTGCGTTGTACTTGAAATCTAGTATGTGCCTGTATCCAGAGCTTAATATCTTTCACTTGCTTTTTTTTTTTGTAGCTCTGTAGAGTGATATTTTCTATTCTAACAATGAGCTGAATGATGTTCTGTAATAGGAAATGCTTCAGATCCCATTAAGTGTAAACACCCCAGTGTACAGCTCCAGCCACATTCTGCTAAAAGGTTTCGGTTTCTCAGTCTAGCAATCCAAAGCAATGACTCTTTCCATCCCAGGACTATTTAATAACAGAGGCCTGTTTTCCACCAAGGAGGCACTTAACAGTTAAAGACATAATTTCCCTCCATTTTTACTAACCTATACAAAATGGCCAAATTGCAGTCTGTTTACAGGTCTTGCAGAGCACTTCTGCATATGTGAAAAAAAGTTTTATAACACTTGAACCAGCGTTGGTTTTTGGTAAAGTTTAGAAAGTTAGAAAGAAGACAGAATCGACTTTGATTTTTTACTTTTTGTAACTGTCCATCATGAATTCAGAAATATTGTAGTTGTGCAGTGCTAAATTGGTGGAGTACGCAAAAGGCAGGACATCCAGTGAGATCTAATGCATAGGAAGCATCATGCTGCTGTCAGGTGAAACTTAATATATCAGGTCTTCAACTTCTTCTTACATCATTTCACACAAGTTTTTATTGTTAGGGGAGCTTGTTGACCTTTGTAACCATTAAACCTGTTACAGTCTTTATGAATAATGTCAAAAATGCATGGTCATCATTTTGGTAAATAAGTGGTTTGATTAAACGAGAGAGATTGTGCGATAATACCTTCAAAGTCTTGCAGAATGTGTCCATCCCTGAATGAAAGGGTCTGTTTTAGCTGTTGGTCCAACATGCTGTGGATGGTGATGAAGCTCTCATCCAAGGCCACCACATATGGAAAACAAACAGCTGCACCAATCACACTCTCTGACCAGTTGACAGGAGCCCGCTGAGATACCCCTTCTGCATTGGCAAACATTCCTGGAGAGAAAATTTAAGACAATTTGTAAGTAGGGATGTGTCAAGAAATACTCTTCCCAAAACTTACAGACTGCCATTAAGAAACAAACAGATGCACAAAGGCTGTGAAAATTAGTTACTAAAATTAGTACATTATAAATACTTAAATATTAAAATATTTACATTATGCATTTCTGTCAGAACTTCTCAGATGTTTATAACAATAATTCATACATATGACAATTGATTAACGTGACCTGGACTAGGATAATTGAAAGAAAATGAATGGATGGTTTAACCATCCATAATTTAGATAACATCTGTTACAAGTAATGTTACTTCCCATGGCACACAAGAAAGAATATTCAACACCTTTGTAAATGGATTTTAAGACTTTTAAAGATCTGAGATACCCTGTTTATGTACTGACTTACCCAGACCACCAGGTGCTGCTAAGAGGAATTCCTCCCTGCTGATCCTCTTCACAATAGGTCTCCTTTCTTCACTGTTGTAAGGGAAGAGATCTTGGGAGGCTCCTGTGTTGTAGTTCACGATCATGTATTGTGTAGAGAGGGCCAGGCACAAAAAGTAACCATCAAGACTAAGGGCACAGGGCTGCTCAGGAGTGGTCACCTCTTTGACCAGCTGGACTCTGTCCACATACACCATGTAAATCTGGACTGTCCGCCGCTTGGAGGAGAGTATGCCCATTTCCACACAGAACGGATCACCATTCACCGGGTTCTCATTAATACAGAATTCTGCCACACCTCTGATCTTGGCTCCACCTCCTGCCGCCGAGGGCACAGTCTCTAATGTCTCCATGTCGACGAGGAACACTATTCCATCACAAAGCACTATCAGACGCTCCAAAGCAGAAGCAGCCCGCAGCTCAGCGACCGGTTTCTTGAGGCCCAGGTATTTGTGCAGCTTCTTTTGAGCCAAGTAACTCAGTTTCCCTTTGGAGGACGTGACCTCATCCAGCAGAAAGTGGTGGATGAAACAGTCATTGGTGCCCACATACAACTTCTTTCCACAGCATTCAATGCACTCAATGTTGATGCGAGCTTTGTCACCCATGAGGAGATCTCGCTCCACAGCGGGGACTAGCTCAAAAGCCTTCACACTCATCTCAGCCAAGGCATCTACACTAGATGATACAAAACAGAAAGGCATCAACAAAACTGCAGACAATATAATCTATATGAGAGTATACAGCAAAACATTTTATTGAGATACATTATTAATTCACTAGCAATATCCACTAGCAGGATATACTGAGGCATGATGGGTGTGTCCCTCATTCACAACAAACTCTAGATCCATTCTGCTTTTAGGAAGGTCAGACTTTTGCTGGATTCTGAATCATTTAACTCTGAATAATGGCTCCAATAAGTGTGAGTCTTTAAAATGCCAAACGTTCAGAATACCCTAAGGCTATTTAGTTTTGGTTGGGCAAAACATCACCTTGGGCTTTGGGACATTTTGACAAGCATTTCTCACTGTTTTCTGTCATTTTAAAGCTGAAACAATTACTTACCTAATTAATAAACACAACAAGCTGTTAGTAGACTTATATACCCTCAACAACGCACAGAAGTCAGTTAGGATCAAGCACTTTGCTTTGGCTTTGAACTTTCCCTACCAGCATGTAATAAAGTTACTAATCAAAACCTCATGTGTAATGTCTTGAAGCTAAGTGGGTTATTTTTCCTACTCGGTATTCATGCCAGAAAGGGTTAATGGTAACACTTTACTTTAAGTACCCCTATCTAGAGTTTGTAAATATCTAATAAATGGTTTATACCACAAGTTAATGTAGTTATGTGCGCATATAGGCGTTTTAAATGTATTTTTAAACATCTATAACTCCGCCTGAGGACACCCATGAGCTGAGGCTGCTGTATAATAGATAGGAACTGACAATACAGTTGTAATAATATAAATTATATCTTGATAGAAGTTCTAATGGTTATCAAACACTGTGCATTCATTAGCACTTACAATGTCCTTATATCTGCTACATAATTGTGTGCAATAAATGATTTATTAAATGTTTATATACTGCGTACGAATGCAACTTAGGGGAAGGTAAACTGTTACCGGATGGGATTTATTTTCATTTTGAAGAATATTATCAACGCTGCTCATGTGGTAATGGCTAATGACGTTAACGCTAGCTAGCTTGCGAAACCCATAGAAGCTAATGGCAGCAACAACACAAAATTCACTGATTAACAGTGGCTGTTTGGAGGTGGACTAATTTGTTTGTAACGTACATTATTCGTGTGAGGAAGTAGTGGTCGCTTTTTGATTAATTAGGTAGCTTCTGGGCCAGCATACTGAGCTAGCTAACGTTAGCTTAAAGAGGCTGTTCTCCAATTATGCCAATGCTAGCGAGCTAATTGAGGCTAAACTACATTTTTAAGAATGACTAAGGAATGGCTTGTTAATAACGTGAACAAACAAGCAGCATTATTACATTACAACTCTCGTGGGGTGTGTGTCCGAAGAAAAAGCACCAAATTTCCAACCGGCCTCCCCTCCCTTGAGATGATGCTCTGCGCAGCAGCCTCCTGCCTAGTCTCTCCGTGAGTTGTTAGCATACCTACCGCTGCAGACAGCGCTCAGGACGGCAGGCGGGATTACCACAAACAGGCAGGCCTACTACTCCAAAAACAGTGGCCACGACATATATTTACACTTTGACACTATTCCCATGCTCCTTGGGACGGCCCCGCACCAACTAGTAGAAATTTTAGCTTGAATGGCAGCGTTGGGTCCTTCCTTGTCCCGTATAAAACACCGCCCATTAGGACTGAACTCTTGCTGGCTGCAGGTGATGCAGGGCTGCGTTCAAGACTGTCGAGCAAGGAGGAGTTGTTGACGAGTTCTCAACACATTTCAAATTGACTTCTTAGTTTGTTATATTTTGTTTATTTAATCTTTATTTAATCGGGCAGTCTCATTGAGATTGAGCTATCTTTTTCAAGAAACCGAGAACAAGAAATAATCAGTAAACAATGCAACTAACAAGAGTCATAAAAAATCAGATAAGAAAGTTTTAAAATCTCCAAGAGCTATGCAGAACTCTAGTTTGAGGGGAGTTTACTATTCATTCTATTAGAAAAGTGCATATTACCTTAAGCAAGTTCTGCCAAGATTATTGGGCACATTAGAAATATCTAAGGTTTAGTAGTTGTTGCATCCCTAGGCGACTGTTTTGGCTAGACCAACAGTTGGGTAAGCCCTTAATGCAAATGTACATGACTGACTGACTGACTGATCATGGATGTATTACAGACTGACTGACTGACTGATCATAGTTCCACCATTCGTCACCCAAATGCCATGTGACTGAGTTGGAGCTTCCCCATTGGCTGTTGCTCTTTCAAAATTAATTGGTGCAAACAGTTTAGGGCAGCATTTATATCCTGCAATTTAACACATTTGTGCTAGATTTTGAGACTTTTTTTCAAGAGCCCACCTAGTGACAAATCTAGCAACTATTTGGACAAACCTTGGCTTCTTAGTAGAGAGTCTTAAATAATGCTCTTGCACCATATGTCCAGTTGTTCAGGAGGATTTGATGCTTCAGCCATGTACAAGCGAAATGTGGTATAAGAATTTAGTATAGTCAATTTATTCTTTTATGATCAGGAATAGCCCATCTGTAATTTGGTGCCCTATCCCATTTTACAGTAATATAGATAACCTCATACCCAGCTTATGATTATGCCTGGTAGTATACACGTAAACCAGGATACTGAAGCATGTAAACACCATCCTGTTTGCTGTTTTGGAACCATGCCAGCCCCACACAGGCCTAATGTTTTACACCAACTTTCTGGCCTTCAAAAGCATTGCATCAGACAGAATATGTCAATACTGTATGTAAGTAGGTATCAGTAAACAGGTTATTCAAGGTTCATGAAGTTTACCATCATTTATAAGCATGCATAGTACAGCTACAATGATTGTTGTATTGAGAAACCTTTTCTGCACCTTTGGGTTTGAAGAGAGTTCAATACCCCATGAGACTGTTTAGTCTGACAAAACATGTTAAATTTACTTTTTGAAATTACAAAGCTTGCAATAAAGTCAAATGGAAGCACTACAAAGATTTACAAAGACAAAGTATGATAGACAAACATACATTACTGAGATTAAAAGAAAAAAAGAAAGAAAACCTTGTTGTTAGTCCATGAAGTAGTAGTATGACTCAGCAAGAGCGATGTGGGTGCCATTTAAGGTTTTAGTAGGAGGTTAATCAGGTGTATAATCAGATGGAGAAAACCATGTACTTGGTCTTTTCTGCATTTAAATAAAATATGTGTTATAAGGCACTAACCAAGTGACATGGCCTTGATAACGACCCCACAGAGGCCAAATACCTGGGTCTCCTCACCAGCCAATCACTTAGAACTTAAGAAGCCTCTTGGTACCTACAACCAAGTCCAGAATCCCTCAATTCAACTTTTCTTGGACATATTAGAATTGCTTCTTATGTCTGGCCGACAGTTTAAACCCCAAAAATTTTTAGTATAGAAAAGTGAGAAACTAGCAAATATTCTCATTTAATCATTCAAACTTGCTGTCAGTTAATTTTGTGTCAGTTAACTTATCATTCAATCTTTTCTTTTCTTTTTCAGTACTGGTTGGTTTCTGAGTGTCCGGGTAATAGGGGTCCTGTAGGAGGTGTAATCCGGCCACGCCAGCTTCTCAGAAAATGAGAAAATGAGAAAAACGTTTACAGACAGTAGAAATCCAAACTACCCCTGAACGCAACTCGGCGCTTTTCACCCAAGATGCACCTGTCCAACTGAACTGTCTGAGAAAAGCCATTTTGTTGTGCTAGCTAGCTATGTGCTAAAGAAAGCCACCAAAACATGGGTCTGTCATACCAACGCTAAATATGTCGCTTTTATGTTTTTGTTTACTGTCGCAAAAAACAATAATTGAACTCGTGAAAATCTGTAAATAGTCAAGACTGGCATGGACTAGCCTATGAAGCTAAAGTGTTTTGGAGAGGACGAAAACTGGTAGCTTAAGTGTGCTGCAGTTTCAGATAACATACTGTTAGCACGTTTATTTAGCTGACCGTAGTTATGTTTTCTGATTGATTACCTTGCATAAAACGGTGTTTGTTTTTGAATGTGTATTAAATAGACTGCGACTGTCTGTGCTGTCAACCAAAGACAACTGGTTCGACGTAGAGGCTGTGTTGGTGACAGTAAATAAACAGGCAACTGAACAATCCAGCAGTAACTTAGCAAAACACTTGGACCATACAGCGTTAAGCCAAAGCGCTAATCTGATAATGGCAGAGGACACCCGACAGGACAAGAGAGCCAGCTTCTCTGCTATAACGGAGCACAACACCAACGGGATGGCCAGGACCTCCGCTGTGGCCTCAGGAAAAACTGGCGCTTCAAAGAAGTTAGTGATCAAAAATTTCAAAGGTATCGTCATTGACTGATCTCGTCTACGTTATCAAACTGCAGAGCATGTTACTCAACTTCATCGTAAAGTTGTCTGTCTCTGGTTGTGCAAGTTTTTGACAGCAAGTATAAAGTCGTCTGCTGACCTAACTGCTGCGATTAGTATGTTGCCTCACATATGGTTTATTTGTGTAACAGCACATAATCACATCCCCAGGTGATTGTTATTATGCTTGATGCATTGATTTTTATGGGCAGTGATGATTTTAAAAGCCCCTCACAACATCTGGATTTTGCACATATAGGCTGTAACCAATGTTCCAGGTACTAGTCAGGTGAGCGAAACCTCACCTCAGTCAACAAACAGGGGTCTTTCGCAATCTGAAATAAATATTATTTTTGTTTATTAAGTTAAATGGATAGAGACAGACGTTTTGGCTCAAACGTGTTGTCGCACCATATTAAGCCTCAGGTGCTACTGATAACACTGATTAGTACTGACTCATGTCAATTAAAAACGCTCAAGACAAAGGCCAAATCAGACCAGTGAACAACTGAAGAACCAAAAATCAAAAATGACACAAATGTACTGCAGGACAAAATAAAATCACATATAAATTACAAATATACATAATCATACAGTTGTACAAATACACAAATATATGAATTATATTTTAAACTGCAACTATTAATCTGCAGGCAGAGCTGAAAATATTGGATGGTTGTACAAAAAAGGTGTGAGAACAGTATAAACTAGTTAATCCACATATTGGGTGTAGCCTACTTCTGGTCTTAATAATGGTATAAGACAGTGTATGTGGGTTGACACAAGTAATCGGTGAGGGAATTGTCAGAGAACCTATCTCCTGGAAGTGATTATTATTCTGTCAATCCTTTTATTAACTCCACAAATTAATAAAACAAATACTAGTTTTAGCATTGAATCCAACCAGCTGATTATTAAACTTGTCTTAAAATTGAATAAAATAAAATAAATTGATAACTGCATTTTTTTGCCTGTTGGTTAGCTAATAGCTAATTACATGCAATGACTTGACAAACTGCAGTAGCTTTTCATTCCTCTTCACTTTTTAGAGTAAGAGCAGAGCAGTTTAGCAGGCATGAGCTGATGTGCATATTCATACTACAGTCATCTTAGACAAAACTGTCTCTGTTATGATTTTACTAATTAAAGATCCAAGATGTAAATCTTGAAATATTATTAAAACATATTTCTGTGGCTACAAAAACTCAAAAAAGTGAAAAACTGTAAAACTGTAAGCTTTCTTTAGGACATCACATGTATATACAAACATATTCGGGACAATAAATGTCAAGATTATATAAAGTAAGTTAAAGAAACCAGCAATGGAATAAAAGTGAAAAGTCTCAAAAAAAAGTTCTGAAAGCAGGAAACTTGCTTTTTGTCATTTCCACCATGAAAAATGATTATTTACCCACTTACCTGTGGGTCCAAAGTGTGTGGTGTAGGAGGTGCCCCTGCCTTAGTTAATTGGACAGACAGATACAATACTGCATTGTTCAATTAGGGCTTATTGTTATGTGATGTTTGTGTTAAACATATGTTTTATCCTAATACTAATATTGTTTCATATGCAGTAATGAGCTCCTGTTAGCTTGTTTGGCAGTTTGTGTAGGACCTATAAAACATTATTGTGGGCTTTTTGTGACAGACAGGCCAAAACTAGCAGAGAACTACACTGAGGACACGTGGTTGAAGCTACGAGATGCAGTGGGTGCCATTCAGAACAGCACCTCTATCAAGTACAACTTGGAAGAGCTCTATCAGGTTTGCTGTCTGTCTTTTTAAACACCTGCAGTTTGATATTTTTGTTCGTGTGTAGCAGTATCTGATTGTAGAAATGGGTCAGTGCAAAACAAATGAACATAACTAGCACAAAAGCTTTAAAGGTTATCATATTTAACACATCTTTCAGCAGAACAGTCAGTACTGTTCGAGGTTGCAAGTGGTTAGTTTCAGATCAGGATTAAAATAAACTTGTAGAGATTGGTGACTTCCTTGAGATGAGTAATATATCACATCATCAACAAAATCTCTACTTTTGTTTGTTACAGTTGGTGTTCATCGATATACATGATTTGAAAAGTGTCCACTGCATTGCCACATAACAAACGTGGATTTACATACTTACAAAAATGTTCATTATAGCATACAGTACATGTAATTTGTATTAAATCACCAAAAGCGCCTGTTTGGTCCTTTAAAATCAAGACATCATCTAACAGGTGTTCACTCGGTCATGGCTGTTTGTGTAGAATTGTGAACAATCTGTGCCTCTTGTGCTTTTGTCTCCTCTTCTTGCTTTTTCGAAACACTTGAAGGCGGTG